ATACGTGAGAAGACCAAATTGAATGACAGTCGCTCACGTTGCTGGTTAGTCCAGTCTACATATAGGGAATACGTTTTGACATTTCACCTTGGCACTGATGTTTTGCCTCGTTCATCAAGGCGTCTCATTACAAATGGCACTCAGGAGCATAGAGTATGTATATATTTTCACGGTATGTTAATTGATTGGAATAGACCAGTAGGCTAATTTGTGTTTGTGTTTCAATAAGGAGTATGTATAATATCATTAGTAATCATTAAATATTATTAATACTTTTATTAATTGAGCTGTGAGCATTGAATAAATTTGAAGGTGTAATTTTATAGATGAGTGAAGAGTTGTGATGTTTTGGATTGTATTGTAAATGCTGTTCAACAAACTTCAATGCACTTGGTGTATATCTCAGTTTATTGATCATAAATCATAAAAGGGATGAGAGACAAGTGATATTCATGGCCTAAGAATTAGAGTAACGTGTGAGAAAGGAGAGTTACATGTGAGAAATTGTGAGAAAGGAGAGTTACGTGTGAGAAAGGAGAGTTACATGTACATGTGAGAAATAGTGAGAAAGGAGTTACGTGTGAGAAAGGATATTTAATAAACCATAGTACATGTATGTACCGATACATAGGATTTAAACAGAGGTTCAGATGATAGACTTGATTTTGGTTGCTGGTTATTGTTATGTAGTTTAATGTAGAGGAGGTATTATACTATTAGAGTTGTCCTGGATCGGGGAACACTAATTATCCTGTGCTGAACGAACTTCGGGTAAAGATATAATATTGAAATGAACTCTCCTAGTTAAAGTTACAGAGAATATCTCAACAATCGTTTAAAATATCTGTAAACACGTCAACCTTATATGTAGTTGTACCTTTTGCTAATTAGAAATTTCTAGAATTTAATCATTCTTGTGTTTTGACTTAATGTTAAGCATAATAGTGTGCTTGATGACTGAGTCTACTTTGTAAACACCTATTTTAAAGGGCGGGTACATTATCTACTGTGTCAATAGTTACCTGGTTTTTACGTGGTCTTATTGTACCTATTTTCATCCTAGTTCACCTGAGTACGCTACTGTACATATCTAATATGCACACTACACATTACGAAATAACATTTTTGCACCTGAGGTTTTTACCTTATTTACATTCAAGTACATGTACTACTGAAGAGAGAGAGAGAGAGGTTCAATTTTATTTCAATAATTCACTGGGGCATAGGGATCTATAACAGTGGGAGGAAACTGGGGTACCTGGAAAAAACCCACGAGGTTGGACAGGCGGCCCTACTCATTGTCACATACAAGTTGGGAACCGAAACCACGCCAGTTGACTCGATGACAGACCTTATGATCTAACGACTATATCTTAAACCACCTCAACTGATTGTAGGATATATTTTTATTATAGATATAAATAAATAAACGCTTGATGTCCAACATTTGTGTCTTTATTGACAGAGTTTTATCAGGTAGAAACTAGAATCTGTATCACACTAGATATGAAATATAAGATGGTGTTTTTAAAGGTTATCCTACGTCATTCAAGGTTTTAATCATGTGACTAGATTCCATACATAGATTAATTATATGTGAGGGCAGCCTATATTTTCACCTCATTGTTGTAATATTTCAGTGAGCACGTGTGTGTTATAATGTATGGACACCAACCGAGCGTGTCAATAACATACTCAACTATTTACCAGATGATATTTTACAAATCTGACATAAACCGATATTGTTCAGGTAATTAATACGTGCATAGAGTTCGTAGATTTTCTAGGTTCATGTCACAAACTGGGCTGTGGGGTCGTAGATTTTCTAGGCTAATGTCACAAACTGTGGAATCGTATATTACGTGTTGATATCAGATCTTAAAGAATCTAGTTTTAATACACATTCCTCGGTCATGTTTGAAATAATTTTTATGAACTGTGTTATCTTTGACAAGAAAGATTTAAAAGAAAAAGAAGAGTTTTATCAATTAAAGTTGTTGTTTATCATTATTCAGACAATATCTCTTATTCCTAAAGCAATGGTCTGAGAAATCCCTCTCTGGCCATTGCTGGATTGACTTCTGAATCTGATACTTGAGCATGTGAGGGAGTGTGTCTATTCTTCCCGTTCAATCAAATCTATCCCAAGTACAGCAACATGACAGCCCTTCGTTTAATCTGGGGTCTTCCCTAAAACTTTGTACAGTGATTTAAGCTATTAAAAACGATGAAAGTATGTTCGTCGCCAAACAGTATTGTTTACATTGTATCTGTGTATCGTTTGTTACGCAATTAGTTTTTCTGCAATATTCTGCTATGCACTGGTTAATTGCCAATAATTGGGCATAATAAAGTCGTGAGTCATGACTTAAAATTATGTAAACATATTTGGTCCAATATGGAGCTCTGTTTAAAGGCAATCATTTTAAATAGACTTTAAATCAAAATATCAATTTATTAAATTAATGACAGTCTGGGAGGAAGCCGGAGGACCTGGAGAAAACCCACGATGTTGGACAGACGACCCTACTCCTTGTCGCGTACAACCGGGGTAATCAAAACCACGTCAGTTGACTCAATGGCAGACCTGATAATATTAATAAAGTCAGCCATATATGTGAATATAGAGTTACGAAATTAATTATGCATTCTTTAAATAAAACCTCAAAAAGAAATTAAAATTAGTAGGCCTATCACTATTCGGTGATAAAATTCTCATTTGTGAACATTCAAATATTTATGCAAGCATTAGTACAGGTTCTGTGAAAATTCACAAAAAACTCTTAACCTTCGAAGATTCAGGAATCTTACAAAAAATAATGCCTAATCATTCTGACTCCCATCTGATGAATCCTAAAGATTGCCATAAAAAGGCCTGGGAAAGACTACATGTACATTGTATTATATAGATGTTCGTTTAGTTTATAAAATATTAATTTAATTAATGCTAGTTGTAGATATAGAACATTATAATAACATGAACAGTGTCAGTAATTAACATTCAGTCCCTTGTGAAACATTGTGCCAGACTTAACTCAACATATAACTGATATTTTGGATTAACATTAATAGAAATATGATTCTTGTTATAAATAGTTATGATTGATAAATAGTTTTCATTTGTCTTAATGTTGATAAACTCATTGAATATTGAAATAATGTAAAAATAGCATGTTATACAACTATCTATAATTGTTTATCAGGTTTCATAGTTTATATATCACTATATCTAATATAAAAATAACATGTACAATTACCTATAAAGCATATTATAGATTATACAGTATCATTTACTTTAGTCTTATATCCATTCTTTCATTGTAAGATATTATCAAAAACAAATTTATTGAACATAGGTATATATGCAATCAGGCATGGGGTAGTGTGTAATCTGTAATTTTAGTTACTGTGTAGTGTGTAATGGTAATTTGAAATGATACCGAGGAGTGTGTAATTGTTTGTGTATTATGTATTGATACTGTGTAGTGGGTAATGGTAATTTGAAATGATACCGAGGAGTGTGTAATTGTTTGTGTATTATGTATTGATACTGTGTAGTGGGTAATCGTTTGTGTAATATGTATTGATACTGTGTAGTGGGTAATTGTTTGTGTAATATCTATTGATACTGTGTAGTGGGTGATGTGTATTGATACCGAGGAGTGTGTAATTTTTCTGTGTAATGTGTAATGATACTGTGTAATAATACTGTGTATTGAGGGATGTGTATTCAAATAATTAAACAAGAAATGAATGTGAAGGGTGTAACGTAACGCATGTGCTTTACATCATATGGTCATGTGACATGGGTTTGAGCCAACACATGATTGGTTAGGGTTGATTTCTCTGATTTCCTCTCACTGCTAAAGAACTGCAAGCACAAGCGAATTATTGAAATAAAACATGAACTGTCCATATGATGGTTTATGTTGAGTACAGCATGGTTTGTCGGACAGCAATCTGTCGAGTACTATGTGATTTAAAGCTTTATTTATGATGTTGGTGATAAGAAGATAATTTGAATAGTTTCCTACGACTAATCTTTAGTATTGACCAAGCTATGTACATGTAGCCAGATTGACCTGATTTTGTAGTCAGTATACATGTATATACCTGTTATTATTGTCTGACTAGACAATACCTATATAATATACCTATAATATAAAGGTACCTATTATATATCTGGGGGTGGGGGGTGGATAGCGGAATGGTTAGCACGTGCGCGCTTTATCATAAGGTCTGTCATTGAGTCAACTGGTGTGGTTTCGTTCCCCGGGTGTACATGACAAGGAGTAGGGTTGCCTGTCCAACCCCGTGGGTTTTCTCCGGGTCCTCTGGTTTCCTCCCACTGCTAAAGACCCCTATTGCAAGCGAATTGTTGAAATAAAATTGAACCATGTGTTAGTCCCGAAATAACCTAGTTTGTGCCGAGTGGACATTAAACCCCATTTCTCTCTCTCTCTATAATACATGTATATATCTAATATATGAAGAGCCCCGGGGGAAAAACGATCCAAGTCACTTTTTCAATGAACCCCAGTTAATGGCACCATCTGGTAGCAAATTTCTGGTACAATCAATTTCAGTTAAAAACGACCAGAGTCACATTGTCCATTGAACCAAGCTCCTTCTGAAATGGCCTCCAGGACAAATACGTTCATCATACCCTTTATTTGACCTTAATTTGGCTGAAAAGTGAAAGTCAGTTTTTGTACTGGTAATTATGATTCGTATTAAACATCATTTTGAAGTTGTAATTAAACCCACTCGTTCTGTTCGTGTCAAGCATTCTCGCCTAAAAGTCTGTTTTGACTTTTATGCGAAAAGACAAAAATGTGACTTAGATCGTTCTTCCCCTGGACTCTTCATATGTACCTACATGTACATGTTTATAATAAATTTACCTACATAATAAATGTATTTTGGATGTATATATTTTTTTGAGACACTTCACTGTGAAAGTGGCAATTTAATAAAACTCTGTTTATTTATCTTTTCAGATTTGAAGTTGAAGTTATTAAAATAGAATCTCCAACCTGTCTTTATTTAGATTGGTATACATGTAGATAATCTCTTTCAACAAACTAAATGTACTCAGACTAAATCAAGTTACAACAATGCCTGGGAATTCATACGAGTTATCTAAAACTGCCAGTCCATCTGATATCAACTCAGGTAGGATATAATGGCCATCTTCAGATTAAAGAGAGAATATGTCAAAAGTAATAATATTATAAAGTTACAGATTCTGATCTGATCCTTGCTAAAATATATTCAAATTTATTATTTACTTCAGAACATAAAAGAAGAATGTCAAATTATATCGAATTCCAACTGCCAAGGATTCTTTTTTACGTGTACACCAATGTGTCCACAGGACCTCATTTTTTGTCCAACCCAAACGACTATACGCTGCCCCTTGCCATGCCCGCTGATCTGCACTACTGACAACGGGGAACCACAGCGGAATATCTAGATGAACTTTCCTGGCTGACACCATGGTATCGCCAGGCCAGCAAGCCGACGTCCTACTCACTAAGTCACTGTTGCTCCCCAAGGTTGGCAAGCCGACGTCCTACTCACTAAGCCCCTGTTGCACCCCAAGGTTGGCAAGCCGACGTCCTACTCACTAAGCCACTGTTTCCCCCCAAGGTTGACAAGCCGATTTCCTACTTACTAAGCCACTGTTGTTCCCCAAGAAAGGTAGATAACCTGCTGACATGGATTTAATCTCATTAAAATGAGGTCCTTGAAAACTATGTTTTTATGTTGGCAGTAGAAATGGTAAATATTGATATTCTACTTGAAGTTTATCAATATTGTAACAAACCAAATATTAAACTATTTAAGCACTGCTAGATAATATGGTCATTTGACACAGTGAAATATTGACTCTTTATCTGTGACATGGATTTAATAGATTTCACTATCAGTAGGTTACCAAGCACAACGATTACATGTATATACAGATGGTCTAATTATACAGTGTACTGTAGACGACAGTATGTTGTCTGTCTGTTTTGTTTTAAGCCTCAGATGGCCAAACACTACCCACGAGAATTGGAGAATTGCGCAGTACGCCCACACATGCAGTAATGATAAATATGTTGATATTATTATTGCTTGAAAATACAGGTGTTGCAGACGGAGGGTTTCCAAGAACAGAATAGTTCATTTGTCTAGTAATGTCGTTTTTCATGTCCAATAAGTTTCTATTTTATTTCAATATTTCATTGAAGTTGCTGATCATTATTTCCATTTCTTGGACAATATCAGATTTTTTTATTGCTAGATCCATGTTAAAAAGTAGTCACATTAAATTGACATTATGGGAGATTAGTTGAAGAGCTGACAGATCTTGCTATAATATTTTAAAATAGACACCTTCAAGAGAATATGCTGAAAATTTCAGTCAAATTGCTGCACTCTGAATTGAGATATTACGTTGTCTGTCTACAACTAGGTCTGTGACATCGGTAGAGGCATACTAAACTTACGCTGTCTGTGTACAGTTAGCTCTGTGACATCGGTAGAGGATGTCTGATGTTGTGAATTTGGAATGGAAATGAACAGTAATTGGACTGATATTGTAATTTTCAAGTGATTAAAACTACCGGCAGTGTCGACTGATAACGTGAATCAGTGAATGTATTATACATGTCCCTGTTTGTCAATTGTCTTGAATTTTAAACTGAAGAACATGAGTTTGTTTTTATCCAGTCCTTCTCATAAACTCTGGTGTAGGCTGGAGGGCCTGGCAAGGGACAATGTATAGTCCTTTGGATGGGATAAAAAAACGAGGCTCTGTGTACATATTGGCATGCACATAAAAGATCCCTTGACAGTTGGAATTCGATATAAGAGTAGGCTGCAGCCCTCTAACTTGAAGCAGCCATTAGTCTTTTTACGACTCGAGACTCAACTTTCCCAGAGTTTATGGCCATGGCATCTTGACCCAGGGATTTCCCATTTTGTTTGTGTTTAGGCTAGGACACTGACTTTAGTTTTTCTTTTATTTAATTTAAAGTTTTTGATAAAAAGAATGATATATATATAGATAATTTTACTGTGTATTGCAGGTAAAATACGGACAAGAAATGGTAATACTAACACCAGTGCTGTAGAAATGAATGGTAACATTACACTTCTAAATATCAAGCTGTCATCATCCTTGATAAATAACTACCCACAAACAAATATAGTAGCTTCCATTCAATCAAGACAGTTTCTCATCCAAAATTTGTTAAAGTCATTTAGTTTTAACAGTACATTATGACCCTCAAAACATTGGTTTCTATTGATTTTCACTCCCACCATGTTTATCTGGATTCACTCCCTGTCTGGTGTAAGATGGAGGGCCTGTCTAGTTATTCAGATCCTTAGACCATTTTATTCAGACAAGTAGGATGTCAATGGCCATTTCATTTCGGGGGGGGGGGGGGGGTTGGATGGCCGAATGGTTAGTACGTGCACGCTGTATCATAAGACCTGTTATTGAGTCAACTGGCGTGGTTTTCGATTCCCCGGTTGTACGTGACAAGGGGTAGGGTCGTTTGTCCAACCTCGTGGGTTTTCTCAGGTCCTCCGGTTTCCTCCCACTGCTAAAGACCCCTACACGCAAGCGAATTAGTGAAATAAAATTAAACCATATGTTAGTCCCGAAATGACCTAGTTTGTGTTGAGTGGACGTTAAACCCCATTTCTCTCTCTCATTTCATTTCTGACATTAAGATACCGGTGGGTTGAATGATATTGACTATATTGTAATATTTCTCTAGGTGTTAATAAAGTTGATCCAGCTGTAGAAATTAAAGATGGTGCCAGTGGGAAGAAAGAGAAAAAAGCTCCAGATATGGTTGGTGCACTAGAAATGGTGAGAAGAATTTTATTCTATTTTCAGAAATTTGAAAACAAAAATCTTCAACCTACAATCTCTTAATCACGTTTTAAAATGAGAAAAGTTGAAATATAATTTGTTTTTCGAACTTACATTTAAATATAAAACTAATTTAAGACGGGATATAAAAATATTTTAAATTGTTGTAGCCTTTTGTCAGTTACAAATTATTTTTTGAGTGTGTATCATGGAGTGTTGATATATCGTGTATCAAGGGTTAGTTTGTTGTTGAAGCTCGAGCCAGTTACCATTTTAAATTCATTGGCTTTGGGTGAAAGAAAGGATAAATTTTAAGATGCTTTCTTCAACATATCAGGCTATTGATAAATTTACATTAGACGAGTTTACCTACAAGTCTTAATGGTTTCATATAAACTGACTAGAAATCTTCATGCGGATAGTATACACATGATGAAATTTAACACTTTCATACCACACCATCTCATCCTCAACATGTTAAACTTTCTCCATCCCTATTTCTTTTCATGTCTTGCTTAAAAACATGGCTGTTCAGTTTTCACACTCATAGTTGAAGGCAAACTAAATGCACTTGAGGAGTTTTTTTTAAAAAAAAAGAAATTACAATGTGAAGAATGGGCTATATAGAATAAATTATCATTATCATATATAATAAAATCTCTTGTTATGTGGACCTATATTGTTGTCGCCCAGTCCGTCCGCCCTCGATTTCTTTGTGGACATATCTCCAAAAGATTTCGATCCCTTTTGATATTAGCATGTATGGGATCAAAACTTCATAGATTATGGCCCCGATTGTACGAAAAATCACGCCTTTACCTTGTGGACACTCGAGAGGTCACAATTCTTATCCACTTTAGATGGAACTTTAAATGTATGTTTATAACCCAAAGATCTCGGTTCCTTTTGATAATACCATGGTTAGAATTTTTATCTTTTTTTTTTTTTTAAACTTAAAATATGTATTTATATCCCAGAGATTTCGATTCCATTTGATATTCACGCTTATCAGACCATAACTTCCTGGATTATGTTCCCTGATTGTATGAAAAATCGCTTTTTATTTTAGCTTGTTTTCTGTCCATCTCTTGCAAAATGTGGGCATATCTTGCATGGCAACTGCTTGTTGTGTTCTTCCTGTGACCTGATTCTGAATATAAACCAGTGATTGTTGTGTTCTTCCTGTGACCTGATTCTGATTGTTGTGGTCAGTTTACATCCAATATAAACCAGTGATTGTTGTGGTCAGTTTTACATCCAATAATAAAGATCCTATTGTTTGTAATTTTTAAAGAATTTATAAAATGATTTTTTGGGCATTTTTATTTTCAGTTCCGGTTTGCGGATTGTACTGACAGATTATTGATGATATTTGGAAGTATTGCAGCCGTTATTCATGGAGCTGCTTTTCCTGTTATGATTATAGTGTTTGGGGATATGATCGATCTCTTTGTAAATTCTGCACTTTTTGCAAATTTTCTAGCTGACCCATTTGTGGCTGGTTTTCTATCAAGTATCAATATAACAGCTACTGATGTTATAAAAGACCCATCTATACTAATGTAAGTTATCATGGTGTTGATTTATTCACTCAGGTTGGTTTACTTTTGTGTGTTCATGTTGTTTACATCAAAGAACTGTAGCCAGTTGAGTGAAACGCTGCTGTCTGAACAAACTTCCATTATAACACACTGCATGACGTATGTCCAGCTTCAGTACCCCGACAACAGCATGGCGTTAAACTCCATTTCGTATTTTCTGAACTTCTGTGGGGCTTGTTGTCTGTCTGCATTGGTGAATATGTAAGCTTACATTTAGTAATTTTCGTTAGTAGCCTGGACGTAACTGCAAAATTTGTGCCTGACATGACACAGGTTGTGCCTGACATGACACAGATAGTGCCTGACAAACATATCACTGACATGTTTCCAAAATCATGTAGATTTCGTCAATTTTTCAGGAAACTCAAAATATTACAACTGTACTAAATGGAATCCTACTTTGTGAGATTGGATTTGACAAACAAAGTTTACTTTAACCGGTTATCCACACCAACAAGAAGTCACACATTATATTTATTTTACAGTGATATTTTGACACAAACTTCGCTTTTATCCCTGTCTTCTTCAAAGGATAATTATACATCAGGATTATACATTACTCATAACTTCGCTGAGAAGAAAATAAGTCCGTTCATGTTTGTTTGTGGCCATTCTAAGAGGTCAAAACTTTTATCCCATTTTAATAAAACTTAAAGCATAAATGTATGTTTGTATTCCAAAGATCTCGGTCTCTTTCGATAACGCGCATAGGGCTGTAACTTTCTGGATAATTGTCCATGATTAAATGAAATATCACGTTTTTAGCTTATGGACCCAAGTGGTTCCCCCTTGTCAGTGTTTCAGGACGGAGGGCCTGACAAGTACTGCTGTTTGGATGGGATGAAAAACCGAGGTCCCGTGTACACATTGGCATGCACGTAAAAGATCCCTTGACAGTTGGAATTTGACATAAGAGTAGGCCGTAATGCCGCTGTCCGGGCAAAATTTCCCTCATAGCACTCTGTATGGTGTATGTCCGTCTTCATTAACCCAGTTCGGAGCAGATTTGTAGGATGTTAAACCCCATTTCATTTCATACAACTTGCATTGACCATGAAAGACACTAATTTTTTAACTGAATGACTAAAGTTATCATCTGATATGATATGTATTTAGAGCAGTAAAAAAACGCAGGGTCGTGTGACATAAGATACTAATATTCTGACACAGTGACCATTTTGTCATGTGATCCATGAATACGAAGGAAGTGATAATTTTTATTTATGGAAGTATATTGTTGTTTTAGACCCCACAAATATAACGTTCAATATCTACATGTCATATACAGGAGATAATTATCATTCCATCTGTATTAAATTTATATGCATTATTTAGATAAAAAATATCATATTGATAACTTCTACAGTTATGGCCCTTATTTCATCTTTTTGAACCCTGAACGACAAAAGTTATCATCTGATCTGTAATGAATTCATATGCATTATTTAGATTAGTAAATTGAAAAGCCTATAGAATTTCAGCAATATCTGTTAATAACTTCAAGAGTTATGGCCCTTGGTTCACTATATTGAACCTTGTGATCGCTCACATGTTATCATCCAATCTTTATGATGTTGTAACGCTGCCATGATGGTTTTTGTGGAGGGTATTACCATGATATTATTTCTGATGAAGTGTTTTACTCTAGTTGTATTATCTCTGATGAAGTGTTTTACTTGAGTCATATTATAATAATTTGTTGGTGATTATTTCAGGAATAATTGTCCTCAGCTAGCTAATTATACTGGAGGTAATATAACATGTGCAACATACTCCGATCAACTTAGTAATCAACTGTTAGATAAAATGGGACAATATTCTATATATTTTATCAGTAAGTACCAAATCAGAAATCCTGCATCATTGACAAGCACGGTCAACGGATGCAAAATACTCCATCCTGCACATCTGGCCATAAAAAAAACATGGTCCACCAAGGCAAAATTCTCCATCCTGCACAACTGGCCATAAAAAAAACCACGGTCCACCGAGGCAAATTTCTCCTTCCTGCACATCTGGCCATAAAAAAAACACGGTCCACCAAGGCAAAATTTGCCTCCCTGCACAACTGGCCATAAAAATTAAACCCTGGGTATAGAGTCTAATCCTTTTCATCTTAATTTTAAGCTAAAAAATTTGAATTTTAGACAGGATACCGGTGCACTGAAGTGGAATGAAATAGAGGATCTTTGACAGTAATATTTTAAAATCAGTGCAATGTATTTTGAACTAATAGCGGAAATATCTTGTGTTTTAGTTATCGCTGTGTGTGTGTTTGTATTGGGATACGCCCAGGTTTGTTTCTGGATGACATCAGCTGAAAGACAAGCCCATCGAATCCGTTTGTCGTTTTTCCGTAATGTTATGAGACAAGAGATTGGATGGTTTGATACACATGATTCCGGAGAACTGAATTCCAGATTAGCAGAGTAAGTTTATTTGTTTGTTGGTTCTCTTGAAGGTTCAGACCTCTCTGACAAAACGGCTATCCATGTCAGGCCCTTGAGAAAATTTGACTTATGTTGTCATCAGCACCCATTATTATCATGCTTTTGGGCCAAGTTTGGAAAACTGTTACTAAATAAAATTGATATTTTTTTGGAGATTAATATGTAGTTTATGACCCCAAATAGCAAAACTTACAGTGCTAGCTTAAAATTTACATTTTGGAGTACTTAATGTGACATTTAAAGCGATAATTTCATATTTTCTAAGAAAGTCAAAACATAATTATTTCTATGTCTTTTGCTCAGTAGGTTGTCAACTCACTATTATACGATCATAGGTATTATTCTCCCACTTAAAAATCCTTTGACACCGGAAATAATAACACAATTACCTCCCTTGTTTTTCTATTTCCCCCATGGAAATGATATTTTTGCCAATTTCTCAACTGGCAATAGTGATTTATACAATTAATAGGATTTCTATTTAACAAGGTAGGACTGTTTATAGATACCATCTATTTTTAGGCTTTATTTTACTAAATTTTAAAAATATAACTTAAAAATATGAAATTACAACTTTAATCCAGTGTTATGAAAACGCTACATCGTGTTTCTCCTAACAATTGAAATGGGTGTTTGTCTTTTTACATTCCCAGGAAGGTATCCTTAACCCCTGACAATTTTTATCATTATTGCACATTCTAAGGCCACATGTATTTGAATTTCTTAAAAAAGCAAAAAGTATATAGTTGCTTTTCTTGTAACTCTTAATTCCAAATATTTAAGTGTTAAAATTTTAACAAAATGTCCCACACAGGAATTGAGTATGTTATATATTGATCAACTAAAAATTAAAATGGTTTGACCTTAGATATAAGCAACCAATAAAAATACTAATGTTCAAATCCTGTAAAGACATTGTCAACTGTTTTCTTTATTTGTGGCTTGGTTTCGATTCCCTGCTTGTGCGTGACAAGGAGTAGGGTCCCCTGTCCAACGTCAGGGTTTTTCTCTGAGTCCTCCGGTTTCCTCCCACTGCTAAATAAAGATCCCTAGACACAATCGAATTATTGAAATGAAATTGAACAATATGTTAGTCCTGAAATGACCTATAGTTTGTGTCAAGTGGAGATTAAACCCCATTTCTTTTTCTCTTTATGGTCTTGTGCATAACACAGTCATCCAAACAGCAGATATTCTGAATATTTGTAGATCGTTTATAGTGTGGAAACATCAGAACCATAAAAATGTAAAATAAATTATATGTTTTCAGTGATATTAATAAAATACAGGATGGTCTTGGTGATAAAATGAGTTCATCTGTACAATGGCTGTCTGCGTTTCTAGCTGGTTTTATCGTGGGCTTTATTTACGGATGGAAACTGACATTAGTTATATTAGCTATCAGTCCTGCTCTTGTAGTGGCTGCAGGTATAATGAGCAAGGTAGGTATATAGGTATAGAATATAAGAACAACTGGTATACTGTATTAAATCTTATAATGATATCTTCAACGTCTGTATCTTCTAGCCACATCCGTCAGCTCTGAATGTGTATGTTAGATCTTCAAAAACCATAAAAATTAAACAAAATAAATACATAATTTTAATTTGATTTAACAGTACCACATTTTACTTTGATAATATTGCAAGGCACATATTTTAAACAAGGTATTCACTGATTAAGATATTTAATGTGGATGTATTATAAACAAGGTATTCACTGATGTCGATGTATTTTGTATTTTCAGTTAGCGGCTAGTTTAACAAGCAAGGAATTAAAGGCGTATGCTAAAGCTGGTTCGATAGCGGAAGAAGTGTTGAGTAGTATAAGAACCGTCGTAGCTTTTGGTGGACAAAAAACAGAGGTTGAAAGGTATGCCATACAAATTTAAACATGTCCGCCTATTATCTTTAAATTCAAGCTGTTGAACCGGATTCAAACAGTTGAGAGTGTATAAAGAATTAAAGATACGTTCCTGCGTACAAACTTTGTGATTTGATGATATATTTAGACTAAAAACATATTCAAAGTAACAGATCTATCAAAAATTTGCTTCAATTCCCACTCAAAACATTGTATTTGCCGGGGATATCTATAGCTTCATTGTCGGAAGGTCCATTTTTTAGAATGTATTTATCATTACTTACTGTACATTTACCATACATATTGAGGCCTAAGTAAATTCTTAATTATTTCTGTCAACTTCTTTTTCCGCTGTTTAATTGCAGAGACTTTTGTACGTTGACACCCCTCAATGTTGCCAAAACCGCCTAACCATTTGATCAAGAAATAACAACCGCTCCCTCACTTAATCTCTCACACAATAAGCTGGCAGATAACAGTCGGGTTGCCAGTTAGTGATACCCTGACAATTTTACCCAGTGCTTGCCCCATGGGCGTTTTTCGGGTAATCCAGTATTTTTCTAGTAAGATTGGGTGTCTATACTTTCCATATATACCAAATTTGACATACTTTTATTTTCTGGGAAAGTATCTTTAAACCTTATATTTTAATTCTTGTAGATATTCTGATAATTTAATTGATGCCAAGAAGTTTGGTATAAAGAAAGGAATGACGAATGGTATTGCTATGGGGTTTGTGTGGTTTGCCATATTTGCCGCGTATGCCCTAGGATTCTGGTACGGAGGAAAGTTGACTATAGAGGAACCGACGAACTACACCGTCGGTAAAATGTTGATCGTAAGTTATTTAATCTAGGTCAAACTTAAAAAAGTCGTATTGATTGTGGGTTGGCTAAGGTTAGGGTTAGGGACGGCAATCTTTGTTCAGAATATTACTTCCTAAGAGCCACAATCGTCGTTTTTTTTGTCCTGGAAATGTGGTTGTATATTGCTGTTGCCTCTGTTGTTCCATCCGTCCATTGTCCACAATTTTTTTGTGTACTCTCTAAAGACTGCATTTATCATCTGATTGTTTTGAAATTAACATATTTTTTTGTCATCAGTGTGATGAAGAAGCCTATTTAATTTCAATAATTTCTATTAATTTCTTCTGGAGTTATGGCCCTTGTTTCACCCTGTGAATGCTCTAAGGAACAAAACTTTTCATCTGATCTGTATGAAAGTTATATGCATCCTCTAAAGCTATGGCCATTGTTTCACTTTGTCAAACTCTGTGAACGCTCTAACCACAAAATTATCTTCAGATCTGTGTGAAATTTATATTCTCTCTCTCTCTCTCTCTCTCTCTCTCTCTCTCTCTCTCTCTCTCTCTCTCTCTCTCTGTGTTGAGTATATGGGAGAGTATCTACTGAACATTTTGAGAGTATTTTAACGTGGATTAAGCTGTCTGAATCCTAATTTAACAGGTGTTAAGAAGCCAGGTGTTGTATAATATCTATATTTTTCTTATTTCAGGTATTTTTCTCTGTGTTGATTGGTGCATTTTCTCTAGGAAACGCTAGTCCTGGTATCCAGGCGTTCTCTACTGGCCGTGGTGCTGCCTTTGTTATATTCAAGCTTATTGACCAGGTAATACTCAGCGTGGTTGCCCCTTGTCAGTGGTGTAGGAGGGCCTTGCAAGGGACAACATAAAGTCGATTGATGGGAGGAAAACTGAGGTCCTGTGTACACACTGACGTGCACGTAAAACATCTCTTGACATTTGGAATTTGAAATAAGAGTAGGCCGTAGCATCAGTGTCCAGGCAAAATTTCCCTCATAGTACATTGCAGAAAAATAGGACGATAAACTCCATTTCATTTTCAAATTAACTTTAATAAATAACGTGCTTAATTCATATAGAGTATATTTGATGAAACATATGTTATTGTTTTGGTTTGAGGTTGCGATGTATAAAGATTTTTTTATGTTGTGTGTGTTTCAGGTACCCTTGATTGATAGTTATTCTACCGAGGGACGAAAACCCTCTTCTATAACAGGTGATGTCATGTTCAGGAATATACATTTTACTTATCCTTCACGAAAAGATGTCAAGGTAAGTCATTATTCTTCTTATATTGTATTATGACTGTGAACAATTCTTTCTGTATTGTATTATGACTGTGAGCTATTTTTCTTATATTGTATTATGACTGAGCTATTCTTCTTATATTGTATTATGACTGTGAGCTATTCTTCTTATATTGTATTATGACTGAGCTATTCTTCTTATATTGTATTATGACTGTGAGCTATTCTTCTTATATTGTATTATGACTGAGCTATTCTTCTTATATTGTATTATGACTGAGCTATTCTTCTTATATTGTATTATGACTGAGCTATTCTTCTTATATTGTATTATGACTGTGAGCTATTCTTCTTATATTGTATTATGACTGTGAGCTATTCTTTTTATATTGTATTATGACTGAGCTATTCTTCTTATATTGTATTATGACTGAGCTATTCTTCTTATATTGTATTATGACTGTGAGCTATTCTTCTTATATTGTATTATGACTGTGAGCTATTCTTCTTATATTGTATTATGACTGAGCTATTCTTCTTATATTGTATTATGACTGTGAGCTATTCTTTTTATATTGTATTATGACTGAGCTATTCTTCTTATATTGTATTATGACTGAGCTATTCTTCTTATATTGTATTATGACTGTGAGCTATTCTTCTTATATTGTATTATGACTGTGAGCTATTCTTCTTATATTGTATTATGACTTTGAACAATTCTTTCTTTATTGTATTATGACTGTGAGTTATTCTTCTTATATTGTATTATGACTGAGCTATTCTTCTTATATTGTATTATGACTGTGAATGATTCTTTTTATATGAATAAATTACAAAACATTATTATATTAAATTAAGTGATGTGTTTAATGTTACAGGTGTTAAATGGTATTAATATTACGCTGAAACAAGGACAGACTATAGCTCTCGTTGGATCAAGTGGATGTGGAAAGTCTACAACAGTTCAATTATTGCAGAGATTCTATGATCCACAAGATGGCGCTGTAAGTTTCACATTGACCATGGTATATTTAAAATTTGTGTGACGGCTCCTGGAAACTTCCGATATTATCTTTCATTTTCAGAGACCTTGTTCCATAACATTTTCAACCGATTGGCCGCCATATTGGATTTTAGAAAAAACCTTCAAATCGATATTCATCTGCAATTTTGATTCTGATTTTTGAAAGCTTTTTTGGTTTTGAACGTACTGCAAATGACAACAATTCTTAGTTTATGTGGAGTTGATGTTAAACCTTATTTCTCGCTTTTTTCTCTCTAGAGCCGACTGTGCTTTTTACCGTTGTTGCTACTTGTGAAGACAAAAGTGATCATCTGATCTGCATGAAATTTATATTCATCATTTATAATAGTGAAACAAATAATCCTATTGAATTTCACCAATTTCTGTCAATTACTTCCGAGAGTTATGGACAAAAGTTATCATCCAATCTGTAGGAAATTAATATGCACTATATGAGTTAGTAAAATGAAAAAGTCTTGTCGAATTCCAACAACTTCCAGAGTTAAGGCCCTTGTTTCAGTTCATTGAACTTTTTTAACACTGAAAGAATGAAAATTCTAAACTGACACGTATGAAATTGTCTTGTAAATGTCCCCCATTACCTAGAAAAATTCGCCGGACAATTTACCTGCTGTGGGTGTGTGTTTCGTTGCCTGGCAGCCTATCTTTATTAAACAATAGCAACAATCTTCATATTATATTAAAATTAACAGTCTTTGTTTAACAGTCTTTGTTTAACAGTGTTTATTTTATTTTCTTAGATTACAATTGATGGTAATGATTTGAAAGATCTAAATGTTGAATGGTTACGAAAACATATAGGAATTGTTAGTCAAGAACCTACATTATTCGCTACCACAATCGCAGAGAATATTAGATACGGTCGAGATGATGTCACTGATGCTGAGATCGAACAAGCCACACGTAAAGCCAACGCCCACGACTTTATCTCACAACTGCCAGAGGTAAATAAACTGTTTAATAGGCTACAAAACGTACAACAAAAAATTTCAACTTAAGATATTCGTCCTATATGAGGGGGGGTGTAATGCAAGGTACAAATCCAGTGTAGCAGATGATCTGTGACAAAACTGTATTCAAATCGATTGGTGATTTGTCTTTTCTCGTCAGATCGATTGGTGATTTGTCTCTTCTCGTCAGATCGATTGGTGATTTGTCTCTTCTCGTCAGATCGATTGGTGATTTGTCTCTTTTCGTCAGATCGATTGGTGATTTGTCTCTATTCGTCAGATCGATTGGTGATTTGTCTCTTCTCGTCAGATCGATTGGTGATTTGTCTCTATTTGTCAGATCGATTGGTGATTTGTCTCTTCTCGTCAGATCGATTGGTGATTTGTCTCTATTTGTCATATCGATTGGTGATTTGTCTCTTCTTGTGTAGCTATAGATATAAAAATCAGAACATATTTATTGAAAAAGACTTCTACCCAGTGATCCTTTTATTAGCTGCCAAGTAAATCTAGAGTTATCCCTAGAATAAATTTACAGAAAGCTAAATTCAACTGTTTTTGTTTCTAGGGTACTTGCGTATCAAAATACCAAAAGTCTTCCAAAATCGGATTTGCCGGTCTAGGTGAAAACTGATAATCAATCCAAGATGGCGGATGACGGTATGAATTGGCTTAAAATGTCAAATATTTCCGAAAGGGAGCGATTTTTACCATAAATATGCTATGTGTCAATATAAAAGTTTTAGCATAAGAGATTTGCGAAAGTTTTCTTCAGCATTTTTCGACATTCAAGATGGCGTATCTCTGTCACTACTTGAGGCATCAAGCTGAAACTTGGTAGAAATAAGGAACACGTTGAGGCCTTCAAAATGGTATATTAAAAAATTTTGTGACGGCTACCGGAAACTTCTGAAAATTACTGAGGCCTTCCAAATTTTCCCGAACAAGATTAATTGTCTCCATTTTGAAAATAGACTAAATAGTGATAGCCCCAGATATTATCTTTCATTTTCAGAGATCTTGTTCCATAACATTTTTAACTGATTGACCGCAATATTGGATTTTACAAAAAAACTTCAAATCGATATTCAGCTGCCATTTTGATTCCGATTTTAGAAACCTTTTTTGGTGTTGAACGTACTGCAAATGGCAACAATTCTTAGTCTGCCGATTTTTGAATTTTACTTCTGGTTTCACTTTGAATTTTTTTCGACTTTTGATCTACTATCTTGTAACCTAGCGGTGACCTTTGCTATGATGACCCTGACATCTACTAACAACTTATATCAAAAAGTTTGGTCTTGAATTATAAATTCTGGTTTTATTACATAAATGTGTAATGATGATGGAAGTATTGTGGAAATAAAATTTAAACACCAAACCAATAATCAAAAATTTTGATTTCAGAAATATGAGACACTAGTTGGAGAGCGAGGAGCGCAACTTAGTGGAGGTCAGAAACAAAGAATCGCCATTGCTCGAGCCCTGGTTCGTGATCCTAAGATATTGTTATTGGATGAAGCTACGTCTGCTCTTGATACCGAGAGTGAATCTATCGTACAGGAAGCTTTAGATAAGGTAATTGTATACATTTGATAACAGATTATTCAGGGTTAAATTTCAGTGAAGCAGAGAATCGGTGACTTAAATATAGATATATACACAGGTTTGAAACCGGCCCATCAATTTGGTTCACTGTAAATAAAGATGACAGCATGCGGTAATCACATTCGAAGTACATTTCCCACGATATATCTCACTATTTTTGAAAAAAATCAAGTAATATGCTCATTAGACACCATTATGTTGCAGTATTGGGTAGTATGTGGTGATATTGGAGTGGTATTGGGTAGTATTGGTTAAATCGTCCCGCCGGCAGCATGTTGTTACATAGGTAGAAGCATAGATCGATGAAATTTTAAATCCCTCATATCTTTGTAAATACTGAATGGATTTGAACTTTCACTTTGATTCAACTTTCCCAATATTGTAGTTTACAAGAGTCTTTAACTAAGTGAACTTCTGATCTGTTAGAAAGAGCACTTGGGTTATAAACTAGTCCTCACAAGGCAGGGTATCAACTAGTCCTCACAAGCCAGGGAATAAACTACCGTAGTCCAACTAGTCCTCACAAGCCAGGGTATAAACTAGTCCTCACAAAGCAGGGTATCAACTAGTCCTCACAAAGCAGGGTATCAACTAGTCCTCACAAAGCAGGGTATCAACTAGTCCTCAAAAGCCTGGGAATAAACTAGTCCTCACAATATTTTTGTTATTATGCACGCAAGTTACGGTTAACCATATGTATCCTGTGTTTAATCACAATTTTGCTGTTTCTCCCTGAAGATTAACTAGGCAAGATTTCCCGTATGGCATTCTGCATGACGCATGTTGTCTTCATTAGTCCTGTTGGGTGTTCAGCCCTTTACTATTTCATTTTAATATTGAATCACTGATCAACATATTCTTTTATCTGCAGGCTCGAGAAGGAAGGACAACTCTAGTTATTGCACATCGTCTGTCGACCATTAAAAATGCAGATCATATTTATAGTCTGAAGGATGGACAGGTCATGGAAGAAGGTAGCCATGATGAGTTAATGGTAAAAGAAGGAATTTATTATCAACTTGTCATGAATCAGGTAAAACTCATTCAGCCATTTTTGTACAAACATATTTATGAGGAATTGTTGAATATAGTTGAAGATTGAAACTTAGATGTCATTGACAACCTACTGCCTTTTACGCCACGTCATTCAGTCAGCAGACGCCTGTCTTTCAAGACGGTTCACATTTTCTCATTTGCTTCTTTGTGTTCAGTATTGTTTGTTTTTTACTGTGTTTTTGTGGTAAAATGGAACATGTCCTAACCATATTCAATATACCTCGATTTTATTGAATACTAAAAATGTTTCTCACTTAACTTAGAACTTTTAGTTTTTAGATTACCTGGTTTTTTTATACATTTCACCAATATGGTTATTTGTATACATAATGCTTACATTCGTATTTTGTGTAACATATAGCAGATCATGACTCATGCTGGCATTACACAACGGTTTCTTTGGGTTATATTCCTGATTGTCTGTATCACTATAGGCTCCGGGACTGTACAGTGCAGTGGACGCTTACGGCTAGCCCCCCGGATCCATTCGCTTAATTTGATATGTACCTTTTTTTGTGATTTCTGCGTATTGTGTCTTGTTGATAGATTTGTTTTTGTGTAAATTATGTGTGGTGCAGTCCCCCTGTACTTGTGTCAAGTGGTATGATTTTAATCACAGGATACGTGAAGTAAGGTTTCCTCCAGTGCTCAGGTTCTCGTGTCAAAATAAAAGACACATTTTACAATCAAATTATTTTCTGTTTCAGACGAATAAGAAGGCTGATGGTGAGTAATTCTTTTACTTATATTTTTGTTGTAATCCCAAAATGACCTAGTTTGTGTCGAGTGGACATTAAACCCCATTTCCTTCTCTCTCTCTCTCTCTCTCTCTCTCTATATATATATATATTTATGTTGTGGTGTGTGAGGGAATGATGTCACATCATTTCATTTTGTATCTAAACAGACAAGAAATGAAATATTATTAACTACATATCGTCCGTGAAGTGACAAAAGGGTGTATCTCAGGAAATTAGTCAAATACACTTTTTTGCATTTTTAAAATCTCCAAACTAATATGCACATTTCTTTCTAAGCTGTGTATCTCTACGCCAATTAGAACTGTTCTGGGTATCATGTGTTGTATCTTGATTTGTGGAAATTTTGAAATACAAAAGGTTCTATTTCTTAATCTTTAGAAATTCTTAGATACACCCTTTTGACACTTCACCGATGATATTTAGAATAACCCTAAAGAATTGTGTTATTTAATTATAATGGTTTAATGTATGATGAGTTTTAGATCATAAGGTCTGTCATTAAGTCAAGTGGCGTGGTTTTGATTCGCCGCTTGAACATGACAAGGAGCAGGGTGGCCTGTTCAGCCCTATGAGTTTTCTCCAGGTTCTCTGGTTTCTTCCTACTAAAGACACCTGCAGAATAAAATTTAACCACATGTTAGTTCTAAAATGAATTAGTTTGTGTTGAGTTTCTTCTCTCCGTCTATAATTATAACCTAGCAATTTGTGTAAATGTTAACTGTACTCTTTAAAAACTGCATTATAATATATAAGACTGCTTTCCACTAATAATTGAAAGTTTATTGGTGTTTCTGTGTAGTCGAATTACATTGATTTGAAAATTGTTCTGTTTACTGATTGTATATATTGTGGAGCTGTGATATATTTATCACAGAAGCTGGATAAATTTCTTGTAGGACAATTGTCAACTGGTGGCAAAACATTTCAGGGCTAGAAATTCACGCGAATCTCCAAATCTAAAAACAAAAACAAAAATCTCGGAGAATTGTCGAGTCTGACTATTGAATGTCAGTCAGGGTCGGTATTCACCATGGGGCTGTATTTTGTCGGCTTTAGCCGATTGATGTTTATTCAAGCCGATTGGTAAAACAATGAATCGGACGCTATGGTATCGTAAATAATCAATCTACTTTTGGCAACGGGTTAATTATTACTTGTTATTTAATAAGACAATCAACTTGCTTGTCGGCTACAATAACAGTCATACCTTAGTGAGAATCGGCCATATGTGGTTCATAATCCGAGTAATTAGCACATTTAACGGTGATTTTGATAATCCAGTTAAATAAACAAAACAAGCTTGCTGATTATTCATATTAGTAACAGGTTCAGTAAAATAAGCCATGTGGCCATTGAAGACGGTCTCCTTGGCATGGTTTCCGAATTGCGCATCATCCACGCTCCGTCCAGATATTAAAAAAATAACTGGATAATAGGCCTACATTGATGGATTCACTGACCAGTTGTTAGGTAAATTTAAATCTTCTTTGAATATAATCCCCTGATAGGACAGCGAATATACAGAGAGAGAAACAGTGGATATTTTCCCGACAGAATCTCCATTGCCGAATTCCAATGACACGTGACATATCGGTTGGAATTATGTCAATAAACCAGTTCTAAATAGCATTTACCGTTATGATTTTTATTTTATACACTACTGACAGAGGCTTAATTTTGAAAATATTATTGAAGGCTATATCATAGTCGTACAGAATTTTATTTTATAGCAATTTCAGTTATGGTTGTCACATGATCATTGTGCCATTTGTCTATCATCGACGAATGAATAAAAACTTTTGAAAGTTACGTGATGGACAAAGGACTACAAATTGTGTTATGAAGAAATGCCACGGCGCCGTATCAGCTTATTTTGGCTACGGCATTTTCTGATACTGGCGATAAACAATAAACACATATTTTGTTTTTTTAGTCAGTATTAATATTAAGATTTGAAAGATTCGCGCAGATTGCATATATGAGAATCCTCTTAGATTCTTGCAAAAAACGACGAATTTCTAGCTCTGCATTTTCCGGCAGGACAATTGTCAACTGGAAAATAATCAGTAGAGGCCAGTTTCTGGCCATATTGTTTGTTTTCAACTAATGCTTGTAATTATTAATATGAAATATATTTAGTACTAACATATAATGTTTTTTCTCTTAATCTGCTAACAGTTTTAGATGAACCAGGTATATATAATATATAATATCCTCTCATTATTGTCATCCAACAGCTGATTGTGTCCACACTTGTATTTGTGTTATTTGAGTTGTGTTTGAAACAAGTTTATCTAGCTCACTATGCTCATTCTCTATAGGCCCCTTTTTCTTAGCAAAGGGTTTGTTCCAGTCTCTAGTCAAGGGTTTGGGGATCACGTCTAGTCCTTCGGATTAGACGAAAAACCGAGGTCCCGTGTATATATTGGAATGCACGTAAAAGATCCCCTGGCAGTTGGAATTCGATATAAGAGTAGGCGATAGTGCCGCTGCCCGGGCAAAATTTCCCTCATAGCACACTGTATGGCGTATGCCCGTCTTCATTAGCCCAGTATAGGAGCAGAAGAGTAGGACTTTAAACCCCATTTCATTTCATTTCATTTCATTTAGTCAAGGGTTTATTCTGGTCCCTAGCAAAGGATTTTTCCGGTCTCTAGCAAAGGGTTTTCTGGTCTCTAGCAAAGGTTTTTTCCGGCCTCTAGCGAAGGGTTTTCCGGTCTCTAGCGAAGGGTTTTGTTTGTTGCTCGGTAGCCTCATCTGGACACCAATACTTTCATTTACTATAAGATGTAGAGTCTGGTTTATCCCCACTTGTGAGGGGTAGTTCCTGCAGGGACACCAGTAGACATGTAAAAGAGACCTTGAAACTTAAACTTTAGTGAAGAGGAGACAGAAACACAGCTGTAGTATATTCTTTTTCTTAATATAGCCAAACCAGAAGAAGAGATCATGCCTTGATAAGCACAAAACCCTGAAAATTCTGTCACCTTTTCTTGAAACAATTTGAATTTTTAGGTTAATCAATAAATGGCTTGAATTCTCCCTTAAATCTCCACTTTTATAGTTTAATGGTTTCTGTAGATGTGACACTGCCGTGTTCGACAAATATACCGCAGCCATTAATTTTAAAACATACTTGATTGTCTTCTGCTACTTATATTTCTTATAGTACTCTCATCATACCCTGACAATCATACCATCTTGTGTCCCTGACAATCATACCTTCTTGTGTCCCTGACAATCATACCTTCTTGTGCCCCAGACAATCGTACCATCTTGTGTCCCTGACAACCATACCTCCTTGTATCCCTCACCTTTTGCCCATTAATTTCACGCCTGATTTTATTTGCTGAACTCTAGAATAAGATATTTAAACTATACTCTTCCAAAAAAGTAGGGGATATTCAGAAACCATACAAAACTGCGAAAATGCACTGCTGTTTTTATTAGAGGTAACCAGTTTATGTTAATAACAGGCCAATTGATTACACATGAACATAAACAGTTCATATGGGAGGCTTATCTGACAGCCACATTTCACTCGCAAAGAGATACACTGTCAAAAGTGAAAATGGACGTTTTTGATTTTTGTCTTAATAATGAGTAATTGCTCCATCAATCGTCAAACATTCAGCAATTCGTCGTGGCATGCTCCTAATCAACCATCCAATCACGATTTGGGGCAATCCAACCCACTCCTCTTGCAGTGCCACGGCTAATTCTTGCAGTGTTGTTGGTTGGTCGACGAACACGCCTCCCGATCAAATTAAACGTAACACACTAAAGCAAAGATTAAATCTTATGCAAAAACCGATAGGAAAGCAAACATGGACAGGATAAACCAGCACGCGGCAGTTTTCATCAACCCTTCCTTGAAGTGTCAAATTTGACAATGAACCACTCCCACGTGTATGGCGCTATTGCGTGTCGCATGTGCAGCTCAGTTGTTCTGTTGGGGCGATAAGATCTTCATCTGTGAACATACTCTCAAAGCATGTCAAGTGTCCATGACTATTTATCATATCACAACCTGCATAGGTATTTGCCTTTCAATATCCCCTACTTTTTTTGAAAAGTATATTTTGAAACTTTAATTTGAATAGAAACAACTCTAAATACTCATAGGCTTCTCAATAACACTGTTTGTGGGGTTCACTGATTTAACCTGTGTCTGTGAAATAGCTTTATTGAACGTCTGCTTCTATCTGTTATATCGTCAACATTATAGTGAATCGTGTGAATGCTACACCAGGGTTTCACTATAACACTGTTGTAGGTGTCCACTAATATAACCCGTGTTATAGCTAGTTCTCTATATTTTATACTGAAGTGTTTCACTATAACACTGTTGATGTCCACTAATATAAAGAACCTTAAACATACATTATGCAAGAGCTAAATCTGTCTATTGCAGGTCTTTCTTTAGGCCTGAAATGTTATCTAAATTATTAATTAGACATTAATTAACTTATCCAGACCATAATCAACTCTAGATGGCATCGCTAGCCTGCGATCTTAAGTGGATTGTGAGCCGATTTACTGCATAACTTTCCTTCTCGATTAAATGGATAATCGAGACTATGCTGTTTATTGAACTGACTTTAGTAATGATGACCAAAGCTAGGCAGAAATTTCATTCTCTTAGTTCTCGGTTCATAGTGGATCAATTTGAATGAAATTTTCAGCAAATTGCCTTTTAACTATTATAGTGAGAACTGCCAACTCGTTATCAAATCTCCCATAATGTATCTTTAAATATGATAACTTGCCTGTGATATCACCATCGGTGGAAGCGCTTGTTAATCACTAATAGCAGAAGAAACAATTGTCTGGTCATCTTGTCAGTGTTGTTCATAGATAACACTGGTGCTGGGGTGGTAAATAGACTGCTGAGTTGAGATAGATGAGGTGTCAGGATTGTTCATAGATAACACTGGTGCTGGGGTGGTAAATGGACAGCTGAGTTGAGATAGATGTGTCAGGGTAGATAGTAAAAGATGATAGGATAGTAAACATGGAAGACTTATTTTATTAACAGATTTGGTAATGAATAATTTTAGATTTGGAAGTAGAAGAAGAAATAGATGAGTTTATTCGTGTTGGATCAAAACGTGAAGTAAAACCACAACTTGAACGAATGGTATCAGCAACAGGGTCTCTTGTTAAAGGTGCCACACCAGTTACTGAAAAGGTGGAAAAAGTAGAGGTGGGTGGGAAACAATATTTGTTTTTAGAATCAACAAATGTGAAGAATGGCAAGGTAGTAAGGGTACTGAATATAAGGGAGTGAGGGTATGAGGGATATAAAATAGGTAGGGTAGTAAAATTGGAGGGCATAAAGAATGGTAGGATAGGAAGGTGGTAAAAAGAAAGGCAGGGTATTAGGGAGTATATCAAAGGACATAGTGGTTAGAAAAGGTAGTAACGAAGGGCAGGGTACGTAGTAAGGGAGGTATATAGAAGGGCAAGGTAGTAGGGAGGTATATAGAAGGTATAGAAGGGGGGCATAGTAGGGAGGTATATAGACAGGGGAGGGGGGGCATAGTAGGGAGGTAAATAGACTTTGGGGGGGGGGTATAGTAGGGAGGTACATAGAAGGGGTATAGTAGGGAGGTATATAGACTGGGGGGGGGGGGGCATAGTAGGGAGGTATATAGAAGGGGTATAGTAGGGAGGTATATAGAAGGGCAGGCAGTTAGAAAGATAGATAGTAAAGGTTCTTGTAGTAAAGTTAAGAGATGGAGAGTAAAGGGTTTGTGAAGAGAATAAAGGGTTTTGTGTAGAAAGTAAAGGGTTTGTGAAGAGAGTAAAGGGTTTGTGTAGTAATGGGAAGAGTAAAGAAGGACATTTAATTGATTAGTCATAGATTGGATGTAAAGACATTTTGAGAAAATGAAAATGCTCTGTGTTTTAGGACGAGGAACTTCCTTCCGTTGGTTTTGGCAGAATGATTCGTACTAATGGTCCTGAATGGTTCTATATTCTCATTGGTTGTTTTGCCAGCATTCTTAACGGTGGCGTCCAACCAGCTTTTGCTATTATTTTTGCCGAGATTCTTGGGGTAAGTGCGATTTTATAAAATATTAAACCTACTTAAAGATCCCAAAATAACGTAAAAACTTGAGTCGTGATACTCTTGATAACAGTAAATATCAACAAATACAAACTTATCGTCATTACAATTTATCAAGGAACGGCGTCTAGCACAATAATCATCCCCTGACAATAAAAGTATGGTAATCCATAGTGCGCTGTCGCTGCAAAATTTTCACGTAGAGACAAGCGTATGGGCTATGGAACTTGGTGCAGATGAGTACTACTACCATCTTTCTTACTGTATTCCACAGAAATTACTTGTATACACACTACACAGTTGAAAGCTAGGTGTATGTATACACACTACACAGTAGAAAGCTAGGTGTATGATGTATACAGAGTACAAAGCTTGTTGCGATAAGGTAACTATCATATATATCTTTTTGGGAGTTGGATAATATGTTATTTTATAATTTCAGGTGTTCCAGTTACAAGGTGATGAACGAAGTAAACAAATACAACTATACGCTCTGTTATTATTAGGTCTTGGATTAATTAGTATGGTTATGATGTTCTTACAGGTATTGTCTCCTTTTAATCAAACTCAAACCACATTTTAAAATTTAAAAAAAAATATATTGTTTTTTTTTATATGATATTTAATCTATGAATAGTTTGTAAATTTTCTCCTTGGAGAATTCTACGCACAAAATATGTTATCTTCTGAAAATATCTGTCTTTACAAAGTCTATACTGATATTAATAATCAGACTGATTATTGGAATATTTACTTTGAAGTATGGCTACATGCATATTGAAATATTTACAACTTCAAGATCAGCTACATAAAGATGCTACATGTTATATAAATTGTTTATTAAACTATTATTCACATGACCATCTCTCTAGACCATCGCATGGCTGATATGTGAATGTATTTAAACATCCCAAGAATATATAATTTAACAATAAAAGTCGTCAAAAAATATTGCTACAATAATGAACGATCTATGCAATATCTTCAGTCACAACTTCCCTTATTATGAAGTAATTTGAATGAAATTTCCAACATATTCATTTTTCATTATCTAAATATCGCATACTGCCACTTTAAACACCAAGCCTACTATAATAAAATGTTAAATACAAGCCAAACACTCAAGTATTCTAAATTACATAAGTCTGCATTATTAAAATAGAACAACATATTTTTGTTGTTTTGGTTTGTTGCGTCTTTATGTTAATAACTGTAATGGTATATATTTTTGTTGTTTTGATTTGTTGCGTCTTTATGTTAATAACTGTAATGGTATATATTTTTATGTTAATAACTGTAATGGTATATATTTTTATGTTAATAACTGTAATGGTATATATTTTTATGTTAATAACTGTAATGGTATATATTTTTATTGATGTAAATCATCATCTACATCCTGTTGATTATATTGATGATATATTTACAGTCGTATATGTTTGCCCTATCAGGAGAAAATTTAACGATAAGATTACGAAAAATGGCATTTATGTCCATGTTGAGACAGGTAAGTCAATGTTTCATTCTGTGGGTGGTGTTCCTTGTTTCAATCTTTGGGTGGTGTTCCTTGTTTCAATCTTTGGGTGGTGTCCCTTATTTTATTCTTGGGTGGTGTTCTTTGTTTCATTCTTTGGGATGCTTCTCTTGTTTCATTAGATGTGGAGCTTGAACCCTCAAATGACAAAAATGATAATCTCATCTGTATGAAATTGTCTTGAAAATACTAGTCGGATTCGGTTTGTTACCTAATTCCCATCCGTCGGCTTTTCGGGCAGCAATACTATATACCGGAAAACACCTGGAAAACAACCGGAAAACACCATTTTATACTGAATACCGGAAAACACTGGAAAAACACTAAATACCGGAAAACACCCTAAATACCGAAAAACACCCTAAATAGGTAACCCGGAGCCTGGTCCTCTGTGTGCGGTTTTGGACCAAGTGAGCGCCGATGAAGGAAGGTCAAGGTCATTCTGATGTTCATTTTACAAATAGCCCACCCACCCCCCAAAAAAATTTCCGATTTGTTTTTCTCCAAAAATTTTTTGACGAAAGAAATTTTCTGTCACAAAAAAAAATTCGTTTTTTTTTTGAAAAATTCGTTTTAAAAAAAAACATTCCGTAGAAAATAATTTTACAGAGAAAAATACTGGAAAAAAAATTTGAATTTTTATTTGAGAGAAATTTGGGAGAAGAAATTGTTAAAAAAAATCTGAAAAGAAATTTTCCTTTGACCGTAGGCGATCGCTCACTTGTATGTTAATGAACTTATTTCATCAGCGCTCACCTGGTCCAAAACCACACACGAGGACCAAACTCCGGGTTACTAAATAGCTACTGGAAAACTTAGAAGAAGAGTAAACTGTGCTCGAGATTTTTTTAGAGAGCGCGCCGCGCCGCGCCGCGGCGCTTTGGGAGGGATCATCAACAGGGTGGGACGGTGGTGGAATTGTCCAGTCATGTGACGAACATAGATCTTCCATTCCTCAACCCATTCCGGCGTGGTTCTCCCTTGTCAGTGATGCAGGACGGAGGGGCTGACAAGGAAAGCTGTCTAGTCATTTGGATGGGACGAAAAACCGAGATCCCGTGTACACATTGGCGTGCACGTAAAAGATCCCTTGGCAGTTGGAATTCGATATAAGAGTAGGTCGTAGTGCCGCTGTCCGGGCAAAATTTCCCTCATAGCACACTGTATGGCGTATGCCCGTCTTCATTAGCCCAGATTAGGAGCAGAACAGTAGGACGTTAAACCCCATTTCGTTTCGTTTCCTCAACCCATATTATTTCCACAGTCATTATCATTAATCACAAATTACGGGATGATATACGAAAATGCAGGTTTACTTTGAAATAGTGCAAATGATACTTTTCCATCTACAATCTTCAGATCAAAGGATGCAAGTTCTTACACAGTGCAGCATAATTTGTGCAAGAGAAGACATATCGAATATCGATTGTCGGAAAAAAACATTTTCTCAGGGACATTTTTTTCCGAATACGCATTCGGTGTAAGTCTTCGATCAGCCACCAGGAAGTGGTTAACAAAGTAATGTTTTATTACGATAGTAGTACATAAAACAAATTGGTTGCCTGAGGTTCTCGGGGGGGGGGGGGGGGGGAAAGTAGCCTCATCGGCGAGAGTCCTCTATTTCACAAACAAAAACAACAATTGCTTCCTTGAAAATTTATCGATCAACTCTTTTCACAGACGTCCAGCTTAACACTTCCCGTCAATGCAGTAAGATAGAATATGTAGTTTTCTCATGGACAATTGGGAGAAAGTTATGGTTTTCTCAAGGAAAACTGGTCAACGAGTTGGGGAAAAAAGCTCGAAAAGTAATCCAGAAAAAAATCCTCTGTGCGGCCCTCGGAATATGATGGAATATGTTGAATATTATTATGGTTCAAGTGATTATATTGACCCTGGAATGAAAGTAAGCTCAGAAACAAGTAGATTTTTAGCCCTTCCAACGAGATGGTTAGCTCTTGGAAAGGATAGACACTTTTCAGATTACAGCCTGTCTGAGAATTGTGTGGCATCCATTTCGTTTGGTGATTAGGACACATAGCGGTTAAACCTGGAACTTCAACTCGAGATTTATTAACTTGCTTTTGATGATACTTACTGTTTTATGATGCGATTTTTTGTTACCTAGGGAGGAGTTGGCCTAATCGTGCCTTCCACTAATTCGTACCACCCTGATGCCAGCGTTACTGGTAAGAATCTCTAAACCGGCGCAACCGGCATATAACGGGGCCCTCAGTTTAATCTACTGAAATACTGAAACACTGAAATCTACTAAAATTTACTGAAAACTAAAATTAAAATACAAAATAAAATATGGTCAATGATGGAGGTAGACTGATTGCGTCTTTTAAAACATTCAAAACATAATAGGCATCAACACAATTTTGGAGAAAAAAAAATCGGAATTTTTTTTTTTCTTTTTTTGGGGGGGGGGGGGGCTATTTGTAAAACGAACATCGTAATGACCTTGACCTTCCTTCATTGGCGCTCACTTGGTCCAAAACCGCACACAGAGGACCAGGCTCCGGGTTACCTATTTAGGGTGTTTTCCGGTATTTAGGATGTTTTCCGGTATTTAGTGTTTTTCCGGTGTTTTCCGGTATTCAGTATAAAATGGTGTTTTCCGGTTGTTTTCCGGTTGTTTTCCGGTGTTTTCCGGTATATAGTGTGGCCCCTTTTCAGGTAGAAATCATGGAATAAGCTTTATTTTGTAGGTTTTGATGTTTGATTACAAAAAAACAATGTTGACATTTTTTCTGAGTAGGTCTTCATAGTATGGGAGGCCATTATTTGAGGGTAGCCATTTTGCGATAATATTCCAACGTATTTTATTATTTTCACCTTATTTATTTGGCAATGTATTAATATTGGCAGGGTTCATGACTATACTTCAGATTGTTATTTCCAAGATGGCGACCATTTTTGGTGGAAAATCGGACGATGTGCTAATTTCGATTAAGTAGTAGTGCTTGGTGTCAATATATATGTTTTCATGGCCACAGATTCCATTCCTGACATTTACAGCCTTGTAAAATGATCACATGTCCACATACTTAGCATATTTCCAAGATGGCGGTCATTTTTGGCGGGAAAATAGGACCATGTGCTGATATTGATTAAGTAGTCGTCGTTGGTGTCAATATATATGTTTTCAAGGGCACAGAAGCCATTTCGGTTAGTAACAACTGTGTAAAATGATTATTTTGCACATAAACAATATGACGGCCATTTTTTTGGCAGGAAGATGGAACGATGTGCGGATATTGAATAAGTAGTCGTCTATGGTACCAGGATATATTTTTGGGGGAGCAGATTCCATTTTTGCCGTTTACAACTGTGTAAAATTACCACATGTTCACATATTTAGCATATTTCCAATATGGCTTTCATGTCGGGCGGGAAACGGGATGATGTGCTGATTCCGTTTACGTAGTCGCGTTTTTGTGTCAATATTTGTTTTTCGGGGGCGCAGATTCGATTTCTGCCATTTACAACTGCGTGAAATGGTGGTATGTTCACACATTCAGCATATTTTTGTTTGTGGCAGAACGTTTTCTAAACACATTATACTGTAAAGGTTTCTGAATCCAATTCTGCTATGTATAAGCTTGTACCATGTTCCTGGAAGCCTGTGCCGAGTTTACCCATTAGGTATATTATCCAACAATGTTGTAGTTGAACTCCAGGGCAATATCATTCCACATGTTCGTTCTACAATCATCTTGGAAGTCAGTTGATAACATAATCTATGCTATGAGGGCTTCTTAGCAAGTATTTCATTTACAGCCACGTCCCCACCACTATCATCCACGTTGCTGCCAGGCTGGAACGAAGCTCCTGGCCATATGCTTGCTATGCTGTTACGACCTTTATGTATATATAGGGAAGATACTGAGCCTTGTACATCAGCTCCAGTCTAGCATCCAAAGAGGAAATCTCAAGAAAACTATGAAATATTCTTGATTGCTTGACTGTTGGTTGTTTTCTGCTTTGAAAGTGAATGAGGACGGGTGAGCATGGCACAGTCTCTATAAGCTTGACGAGAAAACGCCATACGCATGGTAGGCATGTCACTGGAGTGTGGTGAGAAAGTATCCCGATCTGACTGGTAACCGCGAGATCATGGTAGGAACACTTTTCGCGCAGCCAGATCTTGGCCATGAGCGTAGAAAGATCTTGTAGTAAGCGTTTGGTGTGGTCGTTGCAGGAGCATGATGGGCACGTGGCGTAAGCACCACGCTGCTGCTTTGCTCTTTTTGCCTTCATGCCAGGAATAGGCTTTACTTTAGAAAAATTTCCACCATCTTGGAAATATGCTAAATTGTTGAACATATGACCATTTTACGTAGTTGTATATGACAGAAATCGAATCTGCCTCCCCGAAAACATATATATTGTCACCAAAGACAACTACTTAATCGAAATCAACCCATCGTCCGATTTTCCTGCCACAAGTGGCAGAAATATTGGAAATATACTAAATATGTAAACATGTGATCATTTTACAAGGTTGTAAATGTCAGAAATTGATTCTGCGTCCCCGTAAACATATATATTGACACCAAACACGACCACTTAATCAAAATCTGCACATCGTCTCATTTTCCCGCCAAAAATGCCCGCCATCTTGGTAATATGCTAAGTATATGAACATGTGATCATTTTACAAGTTTGTTAATGTCAGGAATGTAATTTGTGACCCCGAAAACATATATATTGATACCAAACACTACTACTTAATCGAAATCAGCACATCGACCGATTATCCCGCTAAAAATGGGCGCCATCTTGGAAATATAATCATGAAATGATGGAAAACAATCTGAGATATAGTCATGAATGCTGCCAATGTTAATACATTGCCAAATCACAGTTGATATGTCGATAACATGGTGAAAATAAAAAATATTTTGGAATATTATCGGAAAATGGCTACCCTCAAATAATGGCCTCCTATACTGTGAAGACCTACTCAAAAAAATGTCAACATTGTTTTTTTGTAATCAAACATCAAAACCTACAAAATAAAGCTTATTCCACGATTTCTACCCGAAAAGCCGACAGATTTACATTAACGATCGGACTATACCTTAAGTTCGGCGAAATATGCCAGAAGTCTAAATCGAATGGTAATCTCTAGTGTCTGGTTATTCCAGTCTACACCGATAGTATTTATTGCGCATGCTCTCCAGATAAGAATATGGCGTCGGCGTTTGACATGACTTGTGGAATATTTCTAGCCTCGTTCTTCGAGTCCCTTGTTACAAATGGTGCTGCAATGCATTATGATACACCATTCATGTACTAATTGTAAAATGTTTATTTTATCTTAAATATTGGATATCCAGACGTCCATCTTTTCCTGGTAAGATCACAATATCAATGTTGATTTAAATTGACAAATAATTTGTGTTTTCAATGTCGAAGACATTGGATGATCTTTTGTTAGAGACTTAGCTATTTTAAGTTTGGGATGTTTTTATATGTATTTATTTCTGTCTTAGGAAATCTCGTGGTTTGATGATCAGAAAAATAATACTGGAATCTTGACTACCAAATTATCAACGGAAGCTTCCCTAGTTCAGGGGGTAAGTTTTATTGTCTTATTCTCAAACACACTGATTCCTTGCCTAGTTCAGGGGGTAAGTCTTATTCTCAAACACACTGATTCCTTGCAAACTGACAATACTGGTGGAGGTTCTACGATTGATACCCTGTGTTGCCTGAGAAAGTTCTGTGGTGCAGGACAGAGGGTCTGGCCTGGGGAAACATAGTTGTACAGATGGGACAGAAAACCAAGATCCATGTGCACATAACAGTCGGAGCAGGTACAGTATTGTAAACTGGGAAATGTGATAAAATCATTATCTTACAATCACTTGTTGCACCTGTTGATAATCAACTGTTGTTTTATTTCAGGCAACTGGTATACGACTTGGAATGGTGTTCCAGAATGTGGCCGCCATGTTAACAGCTATAGTTATTGCCTTTATTTATGGATGGAAATTAACTCTGGTTATTTTAGCCTTTGTGCCGTTTATTATGTTGGCTGGTGCTATTCAGATGAAAGTTTTGGCCGGGGTGGCTGGTAAAAATAAAGAGGCTTTGGAAGGTGCTGGAAAGGTAAGATACAATAGTTATATTGTTGAATATCGGTATGAAATATTGGTGGATCACATTGAATAGTTTCCCAAGTGATACAGGTTGGGGAGGCAGGTCCTGGCGTGGGTCACATTGATTTTATTTTCCAAGTGTTAGAGGTTTTGAAGGTGGGGGCGGGAGGGGGTTCCTGGCATGGATCACTTTGATCTTGTTTCCCTAGTGGTAAAAGTTGGGGGGGGGGCGGGGATCCTGGCATGGACAAATTATGTGACATAATCAGTTTACAAAGCAGAGACACAAAACTTTACACATAGTTTCATATTGATGTATTTGATACATTAAAACAACAAAAGTTTTATAAAGTGCTATATTTTAATTAAAATAAGGTGAACAATTTTGAGTAAATTCTTAACTTAAGTTTGAGAATGTTTCGTGATCTCAGGGCCTGTTCATTTATTTGTAAATATCTCAAACATGTCCCTGTAAATATCTCAAACATGCCCCTGTAAATATCTCAAACATGCCCCTGTAAATATCTCAAACATGTCCCTGTAAATAAATGTTGATCGTTAAATGGTTGATGTTGATTAGGTGGCCATAGATAAATCCTTGTCTTTGACTATTTCAGGTTGCTGTTGAAGCTATCGAAAGTATTCGCACAGTTGTCTCTCTGTCTCTAGAACTTGTCTTTCATCGACTTTACGTAAATCAACTGTTAAAACCATATAAGGATGCTTTGAAGAGAGCACATTTAGTCGGATTGGCTTATGGTTTTTCAGACGCAATCATCTTCTTTGCATACGCAGCTGCCTTTTACTTTGGTGCCTACTTGATTCAAGAAGGAGAAATGAACTATGTCGAAGTTTTCAGGTATACATCGCTATATATATATATATGTGTGTGCATCTGTGAGTCAGAGGGTGGGGCTTAACATCAGGGCTGTCGGTAATTTTTCACAGTTGATTAGCAGCACTGCTAATTAAAAAGTCCAATTTTGCCAAATTTGATTAGCAAAGCTAAAAATTGGTTAGCAGTTTTTCAGTTTCAACATAAAACACCTAAATAACTAGATATTACTTTAATTACCATTAGATTTCATTCTTCCATTTTTTTTAGCACTGCCACATGTAGTTGTGACAATTTGTGAATGTGATGTAAACTTTTGGTTAGGTCTTATGTCTGAAGCCAATTCTTGGCAGTGTCTTCTGATGCCCCACTCATTTTAATTATTATTTCTTCGTTACTTTAGAAATCTTTGTTAGAAAACAATTTCGTCTGCTTTTTATCGTGTATTACTATTTTTGTTCAATCGGGCGCACATCGATCAACTAGACAAACGTGCAATAATATTTTACGGGAATTCTTACTTTGATTTATCATTTTACAATACGTTAACATGTTTTTATTTTTGTTATATTTTATTTACAATACGTGGGGGATACACTGGATTTACTGCTTTCAAAATGCATACTGATATAATTACTTGAAATTGACATGTCTCGCAACGTGAGTGGTACTACTTGATTCCCTATTTCCGGTTTAATAGTCCCTATTCATAGAGTTATGTCCCCGTATTATATTCATTCATATTGTATTATGAATTGCGTCTGGGTAGTCCGAGAAGAAAATGTCACACAGAATTCAGTTTTGTTTCTAAAATTTTATTTGACATTTTATACACGTTGAAAGTGTTGAGAAAGCCTCCTAGTCTTCAAACTGTGGATAATCTTTCTGTCAATATCCAAAATGGCAGGCATATTAATGATTCGCAGTTACTGCGAATCAAAAACGTTAGATTTTAATTTTTGATTAGCAACGGACAAAATATGTATCGCAAATGGCGCTGCGATACTGGTTATCGGCAGCCCTGCTTAACATGATCCAGTAGTTCAGGACTCACAATCGATTGGAATTGCATCAGTACAGAATGTTGGAGATGTAAAATAAATGAGTAGTAAAAGAAGACAAATTATTGATACTATTAGTTAGTGAAGTTAACAGTGGCTTGGTGGGCCATACAGCATGTTATCTGTACACATTGTGTATATAGGACAAGGAGTAGAGAAACCTGCCTAACCTGCACACACACTCCTACACACACACTCCTACACACACACTCCTGCACACACACTCCTGCACACAATGACCCTGTTTATGTCCCAGACTAATCTAGTTGTTTATAATTTTATTATTTGTGTAGAATTATGTTTAAATGACTTACAAGGGTGTTATTCTCCGTTATTTCAGGGTATTCGGAGCTATTGTATTCGGAGCTATGGCCTTGGGACAAGCAAGTAGTTTTGCTCCTGATGCGTCCAAGGCCCAGTTAGCAGCCTCACATATCTTCTATCTTATCGATAAAGAACCAAAGATTAATTCTGAAAGTGAAGATGGACAGAAACCATCCAAGGTTTGTATTCTGAATATGCTATACTCGTTCAGGTATATTTTAAATACTCGCCCGGCAGGTGCATTTTGAATATGCTGTACTTACCCAGGTGTATTCTCAATACTCTTCCAGGTATATTCTGAATAAGCTACACTCTCTCCCAGTTGTATATTCTATGGACATACAATCTGACAGATTCTATGGACATGCGATCTGACACATTCTATGTCTATGAACATGTGGTTATTTCACTATCAATGGACATGCAATCTGGCACGATCTATGGACATGCAATCTGACACGATCTATGGACGTGGGTCGATTCACTTCAGTGTTAAAACTATGGTTATTACTTATAACATGTTAAAGTTGTCATTCGTGGATCTTGTTCTATTCGTGTGAGAAACAGGTAACACAAACCAATAACAGACGGTTTGATGGGATCAATTTTGACTAAGTCAAAATGAAGCATTTGATATATTCAGATATTTTGATATACAATAATAATTAGAATACAATATTGAAAAAATATTGTTTTATCCAATGTTAGTATTTTACTGACGAAACGTTAGATAAAACGATTGTCTTCTGATATTGTATTCTATTAATTATTGTATATAACATTTTCATGTGGACATATAATGTCATAGCCCCTGCGGGACAAAATTGCTGCTCCTATTTGATGAAACTTAAAGTGTATGTTTATATCCAAAAGCTCTCGGTTCCTTTCAATATTTGTGCATATTGACCCATAACTTCCTGGATAATGGCCCCTGATTGTACAAAAAATCGCATTTTATTTTAACATGTTTTCTGTCCATCTTTTACAAATGTGTGTGTATCTTGCCTGGCATCTGGTGGTTAAATGGTTGTTTGTTTTACAGATTACAAGTCAAGTTGAGTTTAACGAAGTACGATTCCGATATCCAACCCGTCCAGATGTTGAAGTTTTAAAAGGTTTAAACATCATTGTTAATCCTGGAGAAACCTTGGCTCTCGTTGGTTCCAGTGGTTGTGGGAAATCAACAACTGTTCAATTATTAGAAAGATTTTACGACCCAGAGTCAGGTGTTGTGGTATGTTATATTTTAACATTTCTGTTCAGTTTCGTTTTTCACTTCAATCTATAGCTAGACGGTCAATTTTGGGTGTATTTTGTTAACCAATGATTATCAATGCTTTTATTCTTTGAAATGGTGATTTTACGACAGTGTAAATTGACACGTATGTAAGATCTCCAGTCAATCAGTTTCACTGAAATGAGCCAATCAACTGCTAAATATAACTGAAATGAGCCCATCAACTGCTAAATATAACAGAAATAACCTTATCAGCTGGTAAATATAACAGAAATAACTCATATCAGCTCATAAATAATTTTATTATTATTATTACATATTTATAGTGTGCCCTTTCATATAACATGTTCAGGGGCACTTTACAAAGTGACAATATAATCATAAATAAACAACAAGATTATGGACATGTTAACGATTGTATACAGAAATAACTCATATCAATTGGTAAATACAACTGAAATAACCCTATCAACTGGTAACTGAGAAATATATAGACGATATGTGTAACAGAATGCTGTTAGTGTAGAAAGAATGGATGATAGAAATTCAACCATTAAAGCCATTTCCACCAGGGATATTTAAATTAGATTTTTCACAAATTTTTGAGATCAACCAAAACAACCAAAGTAGAGTGAACAACCAAACAACCAAAGTGGGGTGAACAACCAAAACAACCAAAGTGGAGTAAACAACCAAAGTGGAGTGAACAACCCAAACAATCAAAGTGAAGTGAACAATCAAAACAACCAAAATGGAGAAACTAACCAAAACAAAAAAAAGGTAGAGGAAACTACTGAAAACAGGACGAAATGTTTTTGTATTATGACAATTAGAATGGTTCTTTTCTGACTAGAATTCATGTGGAATGATTTTTTTGTTTCTTTCAGAAAATTGATAAATATAATATAGCTGATCTCAATATCCAGTGGTTACGAGGACAGATGGGCATCGTATCCCAGGAGCCTGTTCTGTTTGATCGTAGTATTGCCGAGAATATCGCGTACGGAGACAATAGTCGTGTTGTTCCCATGGATGAGATTATATCTGCCGCTAGAAAAGCCAACATACACACGTTTATTGCCGAGTTACCAGAAGTAAGTTATATCCCTTGTACAGATGGCCCCGTGTCAAATACTCATTAAATTATTGGTAAAAAATAACCTACATATTCTGGCTAATAGATTTTACAACTGTTCAATTTGAATCCTAAAAACACAGATCATTCATCAACCTCTACAGATGATATATAGCCAATTGGTCATGTATATAGCTGTAAAAAAAGCCAATTGGTCATGTATGTAGCTGTGATATATAGCCAATTGGTCATGTATGTAGCTGTGATATATAGCCAATTGGTCATGTATGTAGCTGTGATATATAGCCAATCGATCATGTATGTAGCTGTGATATATAGCCAATCGATCATGTATATAGTTAATAGGTCATGTATATAGCTGTGATATATAGTTAATATTTCATGTCTATAGCTGTGATATATAGCCAATCGGTCATGTGTGTAGCTGTGATATATATAGCCAATCGCTCATTTAATGCCCTGTGAAGATGTTAATAAAAGTTTTGGGTTTATTTTTCTGTTTCTAGGGTTATGATACGAAAGTTGGTGAAAAGGGGGGACAACTCAGTGGTGGACAGAAACAGAGAGTAGCCATAGCTCGTGCTCTGGTCAGAAATCCTAAAATACTTCTGCTGGATGAAGCTACATCGGCCCTCGATACAGAAAGTGAAAAGGTGGGTTGAGTTAGTTTGATGCTAAAATAAAAAACGAAAAATGCAAAAAATTGGTGGAAAAGCTTATTTAAAGTAGCTAAGTCTCTAACTCAGTATCATCTAAAATCTTCAACATTGATAACGCAAATTATTTGTGAATTTAAATAAACATTGATGCTGTGATCTTACCGGAAAAAGATGGGCTTCTGATATCCAATATTTAAGACAAAATAAACATTTTGCCATTGGTACACAAATCGTGTACCATAATGCGTTTCAGCCCCAGTTCTAGCAAAGACTCGAGGAACGAGGCTAGACATATTGCACCAAACCAAACGGCGTATGTAGACTGGAATAACCAGGCCCTAGAAATTTGCATTCGATTGAGACTGCGGGCTTATTTCGCGGAACATAACTGATTTGAAATTAGAGTAAAAACGGAAACCATTGAATGTAAATCAGTTTATATACATTCATATTACAGTATTATATGAGTTGCGACCCACTTGTGTCAATTTCTAGGTCCCAAATGTAAGCGATTTAGCTCCTTTAAGATTGTGAGTCATAAATGATCAATATTCCTTATAATGCATCAAAGTTCTTGATTTTGAAGTTTTTTAAAATTTAATTTGAAAATATCAATGAAACTCTTGGGAACTCCACTTAGTGCACTGTTTCAAATATTTATGACTTAATCCCCTGATTGTTTCAGGGATTTTGTGTATTAGCTGTTGGTAATAATAATATATGATTAAATGTGATTTATCAAGCTGAGATATAAACGTTTGTACCAGTAGTGTAAATATTGGTTTACAAAGAGATTTACTTGTGAACAATATGTTGCTCTAATTAGGTCAATGCTTGGGCTTTTCCTTAATTATTTATTTGGTAATAGTGATAAATCCTGTTTCAACCATTTTTGCTATTAAGTTATATTCTTACAAAAATGGTTGATATTGCAAAAGTAGAACATGGTGTGCAGCATTTTTGTAATAAAACTTTTTTAAATTAAAATTTCAATAATGAAAAACTGTTGTCACTTTCATAAAAATGATGTTGCTGATGACAACACGAATGATGTTGCTGATGACAACACGAATGATGAATACATCAATGATGATTCTGACAAAAATCGTGGTGACACAAATGATCATTAGTGCTAATGAAAATAATTTTTTGCAAAAAATGTTGCTACAAGCCATCTTGATTGATTGAGATTAGTTTATTTAGAATATGACAGACATTTATTTGATATGGTTTTATCTATGTTGTAGGTTGTACAGGAAGCTTTAGATGCTGCACGGGAAGGACGAACAAGTATAGTAATCGCTCATCGTCTATCAACAATACAAAACGCTAACAAGATTGTAGTTATACGACATGGAGAAGTAACGGAACAGGGAACACATTCAGAACTCATGTCAAAACAGGGTTTTTATTATAAGTTAAACATGGCTCAACATAAACGTGGGAATTAAACATATTTATAATTGGCCTTTAAAAAGACGAAACATGGATAATTTTTTACTTTTTTTTGTGCGTGGAATGGATAGAACAGCCATCATGTTTTTATACGCCCACATTGAAATGTGGTCGTATATTGTCGTCACCCCCGTCCGTCCGTCCGTTCGCTAAAGGCTAAAGTTAATATCCGATTGACTTTAAATTTATACACAGTGTTAAGGTCATGAGACGAAGAAGCCTATTGATTTTCAGCGATTTCCGATAGTTACTGCCAGAGTTATGGCCCTTGATCACTTCAAAAAATATTGTGGACGCTGAAAGAGGCTAAAATTAATATCCGATTGACTTTAAATTTATACACAGTGTTTAATGTCATGTGACGAAGAAGCCTATTGATTTTTAGCGATTTCCGATAATTACTGCCAGAGTTATGGCCCTTTATCCCTTTGAAAAATCTTGTGGACGCTCTAGAGGCTAAAGTTAATATCAGATTGACTTTAAATTTATACACAGTGTTTAATGTCATGAGACGAAGGAGCCTATTGACTTCAGATTGATACACAGAGTTTAAGGTCTTGAGACGAACAAGTATATTGATTTTCAATGAATTTTTATGACTTGAACAACTAAATCTATGATGTTAAAAGTTTTCTATACTAAACATTAGCATGGGGCAGAACTTTATAAAAACCAAACAAATTCAAATGGTTTTCTGTTAATTTCTTAATTAGTTGTTACTCTTTATCAGATTTTAGTGTATTATAAATGTTTAATTACCGAAAAAAGTAAAAATATGCGACAACTCTTGTTGACTCCCCGGACGATTTAGCTGCTGTGGGCGTATGTTTTGTTGCCTGGCAACCTATCTTTGTATGATATTAAACTGGATGTTTGAACTAGTTCCATACACATATGTTTCACTCAGATATATTTAGATGACGTTTTCATTCTCGCAAACCAGTGGACAGATTTTGTGCGGAAGCTTAAATAATGGGCAAACTACTTTTCACAAAATACCATTGTCATCACATCATTTGCGAAAATATTTGTGATGATATTATTTTTTATTTTTATTTTTAATTGTATGTTTTTTTACAAGAATCTATTAATTAATTGTATGTTTTGTTACTAGAGCCTATTAAAGGGAATGAAATCTTATTCACCTTTTTCCTGAAACTGACAAAGGCTTTTGGTGAACTAATTCTTATATATATATTTGTAAACACTACAATCGTGGTTTGTCATGCTGTGTATGTATATATAACAAGATGTTGTGACAAGGTCTCTTATGTTTAACTAACCAGTGATTTTTGTGCTTATAAATCTTTAGCATCTGGTACATGTAAATGTTGACTACCCCAGTTAACCCTATAGACCCTGGTAATGTAAATGTTGACTACCCCCAGTTAACCCTATAGACCCTGGTAATGTAAATGTTGATTACCCCCAGTTAACCCTTTAGATCCCCTGGTAATATAAATATAGACTACCCCAGTTAACCCTTTAGACCCTGGTAATGTAAATATAGACTACCCCCAGTTAACCCTTTAGATCCCCTGGTAATATAAATATAGACTACCACAGTTAACCCTATAGACCCTGATACATGTAAATATAGACTACCCCCAGTTAACCCTTAAGTACCTCGTACATGTAAATGTTGACTACCCCAGTTAACCCTTTAGATCCCCTGGTTCCTTGAAGAACCAGAGAGATGTGAATAGCTCTGCTCTTCATATTTACTAGTAGCTATTCGTGATTCAGACAGTCTAAAGCAAGAGCACTTAGTTTAGGTGGTTTTAGACAGTCAAAAGAGCACTTAGTTTGAGCGGTTTCAGACAGTCTAAAGAGCACTTCGTTTGGGTGGTTTCAGACAGTCTAAAGAGCACTTAGTTTGAGCGGTGTCAGACAGTCTAAAGAGTGCTTAGTTTGGGTGGTTTCAGACAGTCTAAAGAGCAGACAATCTAAAGAGTGCTTAGTTTTTGTGGTTACAGACAGTCTAAGTATTAAAGGGTTAATGCACTCAATGATTATACATAAAACTACTGTTCTGTTTATGTGTTCCCCATATTTGGTGTTTAAATTATTCTCAGATACCAGCAGCTTGTATAAACACAATGTTTCATATCCTCATTGCATTAGTATAATTTTATTTGTTCTGGGAACAATCACAGGGTTGCACTGGGGTATTTGTCAAAATTAAACCAGTTTACACAGTTTCTTACAAATCAATGTATTTTGGAAACTTTATCTGTTAAATTAGATTTATTTGGTTGTATTCATTTAAACATGCATTATGCAAGAGCTAAATCTGATTATTGCAAGTCTTAATTTAGGCTTCAGATGTTATAGAAATTATAAATTAGATCTTTATTTAAACAACAAGACCAAAATCAACTCTGTAGACCCACGGATGGCTCGGCTACAGCTCGGATTTAAATAGGATTTCACTAATTGATTAAATCAGATAAGGGGTAACCTGATGAAAATACATCAAGATCGAGGATAAATGGTAGAGTGTACTTAGCGAGGCCGCTGTAAAGCGTTTCCGTATGCCATTGAAAACTTTACTTGATAATCGAGATATGTAGGTGGAGTTAACGCCTGTCAATCAAACGTTCGGCGACGGTGAAGACACATTTCGCTACCATTTCTAGGCAAATATTACAACGATGATAACTATGTTCAGAATAAAGTAATTTGACTGAATGTTTCAATATATTCTTCTTTCATCATCTACTTTTGAACTGTTATAGCAAGAATGACCAACTCTCTATAAATATCTCCCATAATGTATCTTTAATTGGGTGACCATAGTGCCCAGTAGACTGATCACCATAGTGACCAGTAGACTGATCACCATAGTGACCAGTAAGCTGACTCCCAGTAATAAAAGCGTTGTCTAATATAATCAGGATATCAGTTATCCACAGTTGGTTTTACATGTACAGTGCAAAATTTTGTGATATTTGACTACAAAGCATTTATTGTTTTATATTGTAGATTGAGTAAATATAAGGATATACAATCATGTGTTAGTCCCAAAATAACCTATGTCTTACAATATCCTAATAATGTGGAACATTTATTTTTAAACCCTATTTACTCTGTATTTATTTGTTTAGAAAAATGACAATTTGTCAACGATTTTTAAGATAGTTAAGGATATGTTCAGGATATATTATTATTATTTTCATCAGTATCAGGAAAGAGAATTAGTTTTACAGGAGAGTTCACATATCCAAAGTGGTTGTATTTAATATAACTGTATTTCTCTTCAGATATTCTTGCCTTTTTATGTTTTGTTAATAATGTTTTTTATGTTTATCACTTGATAAGTTAATGTTTAGTTTTGATAATATAAATTTATTATAACTTGATGTGATTATACCTTATACTGATTGACGTAGGTGATAGTACCAATATATTAGTTGTGTTCATTGAACCAGATAGTAAGACATACTGTCAAAGTCCAAGCAAACCTTTTTATTTAAAAAAAAAATTATACAAACTCCACTTGTGTGATATGAAATTGTTCCGTATACCAAGCACACTAACCACATTGATAATGATATAGTGATAAAAGAAGCATAATATTGCAGGTAAACTTGTGTTAAATGTCATCAATTCGTCTTCATTAGCCCAGTCAGTGCAGAACAGTAGGATGTTAAACCCCATTTCATTTCATTTGTTATAGGTCTTCAACATTTAAATTACAATTGTGTTAATTTTGAATGTTGAAGTTGTTACTCCTATGTGATAATGTTACTGGACCGTCTGACATGTCATATTATCTGACTGTCTCTAGTAAAACATTTATTTGTTGGAATATTTATTTGTATCTATTGATCATAAGGTCTGTCATTGAATCAAGTGGCAGGGTTTCGATTCCCATCTACAACCTCCCAATGTCAAAGACCACACTACATACAAGCGAATTATTGAAATAAATCCCAAAATGACCTAGTTTGTGTGTCTCTCTCTCTACTTTACACCATATATGATTCTGGAGGGTCTGAATATTAATTAAGATCACTACCAGTTGTTATAATTTAGACAATTTATTACATATCTTGTTTTGTACCGGTAATCAAAAAATTATATATTTTTTCTTATTAAGAAAGATGTTTATTTGTTTTTTGTCAATTATTGGCAGATATTAAAATAAAGTTTATATAATCTACTCTCATAGATTATGTCTAATTAAAAACCGGGGCCTTAGTCAGAAATAGTTTGGGGGGGCGTGGGGCGAATGGTTAGCACGTGCGCGCTGTATCATAAGGTCTGTCATATTGAGTCAACTGGCTGGGTTTCGATTCTCAGGTTTTATGTGACAAGAGGTAGGGTCGCCTGTCCAATTTCGTGGGTCTTCTCCGGGTCCCCCGGTTTCCTCCCACTGTTAAAGACCCCTACATGCATGCAAATTGTTAAAATAAAATTGAACCATGTGTTAGCGACGTGGGTTGTTTTATGAATGACTGGACGCTTTGATGTGGAATACGTCAAGTTACATGATATTTAAATATGTTGACTTATATAAACCCAATTCCGCTTGTTTATTCACAAATCGGTTCCACTTTCTATCTAAACCCACAGAAAAGGGCGCTAATCTCATCTACGACGATGTAATTTTCACAATTGTGCGACCTAGACCACTCCCTCACCACCACCACCCCGGGGTTGTTGGATGAAATACTCACCCTAATTCATGCACAGGTTGACTGTCGTACATAATAATGGAAAAAGAAAGCAGAGAAATACCTGCCGCATTCAGTCGATCACAAGAAGCGGATGAAAGTAAGCCAACAGCAAGGAGTGGTCGATGGTGCATATACGTACATTAAAGTAGCTAAGTCTCTAACTCAATATCATCCAAAGTCTTCGACATTGAAAACACAAATTATTTGTCAATTTAAATCAACATTGATGTTTTGATCTTACCGGGAAAAGATGGGCTTCCGATATCCAATATTTAAGACAAAATAAGCATTTTAACGTATTAAGCCGAACATAACTGATTTGAAATTAGAGCAAAAACGGAAACGATTGAATGTAAATCGGTTTATATACATTCATATTACATTATTTTATGCATTGCGACCCATTTGTGTCATTTTCTAAGTCCCAAATATTAGCGATTTAGCTCCTTTAAGCACGACTGGTTTCTATTAGGATCTGGTTGGAACAAGGGAAGGGAAGCAGGAAAACAGGGCACAATATTAGGACAATGGGAATATGATGACGCGGGCATTTCCAGGAGTATTTGAGGTTACGCGAATTTCAAGGGTATTTTTGCAGAATGGAGGATACTATTTCAAAAGAAATGTCACTTTTTCAAAAGGGAGGGCACTTCTTGAAAAGGTAGGGCACTTTTTCAAAAGGGAGGGCACAAAGTCACCCCTATACCCTTTCTACATTTGATGATTTTCGTCTAGAATATCATGCCTTTAAACCCCATTTCATTTCTACATTTGAACTTTTTCGTCTAGAATATCGTGTCTTTAAAGAAAGGATATGAGTACCAACCAAAAACTAATTGATAAATGTTGAGATTTGTCCGAGGAGTCATGGCGGCTCCCTGTTGGACGAGTAATAAGTTCATTGTTAAAATACCAAGTTTCCCCCCTGACTAATACTAATAAATCATTAATACATTAATATGATAAAATGACGGATGGATGTAACCAGGGGCAACACATATCGATTACATTACTCTACTTGCTTCTATATGAACACTGAAAAGGGAATTCCCCCAGGTGTGTTTTTCAGACATAATAAAGTCCCTTATTGTTATAATGAACAATTAATATTAGGAACAATATTAGGTTATTTTTTTAACATATTCCAGAGACATGATTTGACGTAATATTAGAATTCTTTGGGTACCTGTTTTTTTCTTTTGTCCCCCCACTCCCACCCCCACCCCATACATTTTTTAAGTGAACGGTCTATTTAAGTTATTTTACTAGCCTACAAACCGGAAACCCACCACCATCACAATCTTAGCTTGGTCGGCGGGGAGACATTCCTCACGGGGTCAATCACTTTGAATTGCACATAGAATTTTTGGACCAAACCCAACTCTAACCCTAGCACGCGGTGACTGTCAGTGTCGCTAAAAATAAACCATCATCTCGTTTATGAACGCGAGATTTCGTCCATTCACCATGGCCGGTGTTGTGAGTAATGTACGTCTCTCGCGCTGAGCATATTTGTTTTTTTCTTCTCCATTCATCCAACTAACTAGCTACGAGAACGTAACTAAAAACGCTGAGATATACTGTTGTGCTTGTTTTTAGCTACGATTGGATGCCTTTAGTTCCAAGTGGCAAACTCAATTTCATTATTAATGTATGTACCGTTTTAAAAATAAGTTAATTTTATACTATTAGTACTTATTACACATACGCAGTCCAATCTACTGAAACAACATTCATTTATCAGCAAATATTGACAATAAAGTAAATCAAGCGTTGTTTTTATCAAAATTAATTCGGACGTTCATAATTACGCCGTATTACTACTGCGCAACTCTGATCAGATGGGTACTTTGATTGGCTATTGCACATGAGGCCCCGCCTTTATGTGTTACAGACGTAAATTTTAAATGTCGGAAAAAGCAATCTACTGTCGCTTCGATTTAAAAAGAGGGGATTTGTATCCGTTTCAGGTAGGGTTATATGCTTAATTGTAGTTGGGTGTGGCAGAAATATTATAAATAACAATAGCTAATCGTTTTTTTTGATTAAAAATATTGTCAATTTTGTTTACAAATGCCGGGTGCGAATCGCTCCCGCATGTGCTACATTGAAGGTAATGACATCATTTCTTATCTCGAAACACGGAGGGTTGAGAGATTAAGGTTTGTTATCTACCAACTAACGTGAAACAAATAAAGGTAGAAAGCCTCACTGTACTCTAACCCTTACATGTATACAGCTAAATGAGTAGAACTATATTGTCTTAAATGTTCTGGTTATCCACAAACCCCACGTCAAACTTGACGTTGTCTACTACACTATGGACCCTCGCTGTTCCAATTCTTGAACAGCCCACACTAACAATATAACACTGTGTAACAATGACTACACGCGATGCGGACAAAATATATGGCCACAACACGGCCCTGTCAAACAGGCCACAACACGGTCCTATCAGACAGGCTACAATACACCATTGATTTACCCATTATTAGCAGGAGTATGATTTGTCCTAATATTGACTAATTAAATTGCCGTCAATCCAATTCAATAGTTGCCTGAATCAAAGTAATATTTTGTGGGGATGTATCTGGGTATTAATCCATCTTACAGGGTTATCACACCCTGCATGGTGCTCTCTCGGACTAGTTTTTAATATATATATTGACTTTGGTTGGGAAAAGGTTGATAAATTGACATTTTAATAAGTCGGGAAATAAATCATATGTGGTGAATATCTGAGTCGCAATATTCCATAGACAAAATAAATAGCATTTTTATTCATTTACTCCCATACTGGGGCTGATAACCCTCCCTTTCGCTGCCCCTTTGTGTGAGCTTTCGTGAATCAGTTGCTAGTGTTATAGATTGATGAATCAGTTGCTAGTGTTATAGATTGATGAATCAGTTGCTAGTGTTATAGATTGATGAATCAGTTGCTAGTGTTATAGATTGATAATGAAGATTACAATGTTCAAGCCTTGGTGTTTATCACACGTTTATCACAATTTACTCCCAAACTGTAAAAACAGACAGTTATATATATTCTCTCAGTTATTTCTTATATCAAGTTTGTGTGACGTAAAACACCGAGGATTCTTTTAAGGTACATGTTGTTAGCGCACCAGATTTTATGGAATATTTATGCAAGAAAGACGCAATGCGACAGACGCTCCGATGGTTATGATATTAAATCAGTTAGATCAGCGGTGCCATATAATCGGTTAACTTTACAAGCGGTTGCCATGAAGGATACGCCATCATTTTGCAAGAGATTGACAGGGGACGAGCAAATAAAAGTGATTTTTTGTACAATCAGGGGCCATAATTCATGAAGTTAAGGTCCAATAGATGCCAATTTCGACAGGAACCATGATCTTTGGGAGATAAAGCTATATTTGAAGTTTCGTCAAAACTGGATAAAAATTGTGACCTGTAAAGTGTCCAGAAACAAATTGTGGACGGACAGGGACGACGACAATGACAATCGAGACTTGGTTTATTATCGTAGCAATGGTATTTGATAATCGAAACTATTTAGGCTAAATCTTAGTCATAACTTCAAACACTTATAACTTTTCTCAGAATAATGTAATTTGACTTAAATTTTCAATATATTCATTTTCGTATTTTTATATGTTTTTAAACTATAGGAAGCAGACCAGTATCTAAATATTACATAGACTGACGTATCTTTAAATGTTTTACATATATTGTCTTAGACTCGTCAGTCAATACCTATAGGATAAGCTATTCTATCGATAAATGAAACGGGAATATAACGTCCTACTAATTCTATCAATAATAAACAGGAATTTAACGCCCGCTTTCCTGAAAACATTGTGAACACGATAGAGGCTAGAGTTTTTAACGCACCATTTTCATATTTGGTGGGAAAAATTGTGGTCGTGAGAGGGCGAACCCGTCCGGAATTATCCCCCCCTCCTCCTTTGCCGAAAACATGGCTACAGGTTTTGACGGATTTATTTTTCAGAAGACGAACAAGAAGTAGATATTGCACCATTACTTTAAAACGTGTCCGTGGCTAATTTAAGCTGTTTTCTATCAGTTGGTCGAACTATTTGTTAAAGGCTCTTTGATTAATACATCTTGGTGGCTAATTTAAGCTGTTTTCTATCAGTTGGTCGAACTATTTGTTAAAGGTTCTTTGATTAATACATCTTGGTGTAAAACGGTTAAAATTGGCATCAATCACTGAACATCTAATCCTGATAAATATTATGTCGACATTTCGTTCCGGTAAATTTTACGATTGTTTTCTCCACTACACCGTGGCCAGCAAATTAAACGGGGCAAGAACTACAGCTATTTTCAATCAAATTAGACGAGACTCTGATTGAATTGTATTAATGTAGGAGTTTGAACACGTGACGTAGATTACATCTGCCAGTAACACTGCTAAGGGATGCGCTCGTGTCTAGTTGATTGATGGATAAATTTTGAAAATCATGGATGTATTGAG